TCCTGAGCGTCTTTTTAAAATTTTAACCCAGTTGAACACCTATCTCCAGAGTGTCTATTTTAAGCCTGTCGATCCCCCCCCCCCCCCCCCCCTAAAAAACAAGAGAAAAGTAGCTTCTGCTCGCAGAGTACCCCCAATAGACCTCCGAAGCTTTTACGTCATGTACCGTTGAAGGACATGGCGGATTTCTTTTGTTTTCTCTAGAAACTGATCCCACAATGCATTGAAAATCAAGTAGTGACGTAAAAGGTCTATTACACGTAATATAAACGGTAAGAACATGCGCATACAAACCAATGTAACCGACTTTTTTTTCCGTCGCCTTCCTTAGATCAAACCTGAGTTGTTCTTTTTTTGTTTTTGTTTTTTTGAAAAAGTTAACGTTGCCAGAAATCATTGGCGATCGACCGAATACACGTCTCGCTGGCTCAGTCGGCCATGTTTCCTCTCCAGATATTGTCAACAATCATATTGTTTTATACATCAAAGAAGCGATCTCTCTTTCTGATTCGTTCACTGGCACAGTAATGACTTGGGTCGTGCGTTTTTTCATGATTAAAAGGCTTGTCATTCACCATGATTTGAACCCGGCATTACCCTGCACTATGCTGCACTTATACGTCCCAACACACGATGACGGAAAATGTTATATCAGCAATTTTCTGTTACGATTAAGCGTCATGTCCACACGCCTGACCGCACACTCTTTTTTACAGTGATCAGTCGAAAACGTTCCCAATGCTTGTAGAGGAGAAAAAAAATGTTTGCATTAATCTGCATTGAGAATTTTCGGTCATCCTGTGGACGTAGATCGACCGGACTTAAAATTGTCCGTCAGCAGTTCGTAGTTAGTAAAGTGAGTCTACACTGTCGATTTTTGCGACGATTTTTGCTGCAATTTTTCGGGCGATTTTCAAAAGTATAATAGATTTTGTCTTGCTTTCTGAGGAGACGTTTAATTAACTTCTCAGTGTTGTACCATAGTTGATAGTCTCCCTCTATTAACTATGGTTGTACTGAAGAAAAGTTTACAAGTCACTATTTGGCATGATTCTCTAGGATCAAAATGATCGACAAAAACTGCAGCAAAATTCACCGCAAAAACGCCAGTGTAAAAGTGAACTATTCTCTCTGCGCTGTTTTCGGCTCAAGTCCTTCCGCCGGTTAATCCTTGTCACATCCAGCTTTATTCAAGAGTCAATAACATAGTGTGACTAATCTTGTTACGTACCCTTACTAGAATTTACCCTAGTTTCTTTAATTTTTAGGTCGGATAGACCGAATTGTCGCGTTTCGACCTTAGTTACGGCAGTTGGCGCAATGAATCTATAAACTACGGACAAAAGAAAACCTCTGGTACCCAGGGTACTATGTTGTAAACATCAGTTCATGAGTTCACCAGTTCATAGTAAATACTGAAGTTGCATGCACGCTTGCAGGGCCGCTAGAGGCGWATGCCGACGCAATCGCCACCTTTGAAAATAATGCAGGCCGCGTCGAAGTAGTKCGGCCGACAGCATCGTTGCTGKTGCTATGAAAACAAAATGAATCAAAAAGCTARGGAATACACTAAAACAGAAACCTAWAAGGGACTTATAGGTTTCTGGCTGAAAGCATTGCTGATGCAATTTTTATTGTTTTGATGGCACGAAGAATATCCACTTTTAGTTTATTTGTTTAATATTTTATTATTTACTCGCAAAGTTTAATAACTGAAAAGTTGTACAACGTCAAACAAAACATGAAAAGGCCGGATCTCGTATAGTTCATGGTGTATTTTCACGTATGAGTCAAATGTGTCTTTTCCTGAAATATTTTTGGCATTTGTTAAAAATCACGTGCTTCGCCAGCCACATCCGGCATTTCGGCGTCATGTCCGTCCACTGGGAATAAAGCAGGTGATTTGATGAACCTGTAGCACCCCCCGCGGGTATGTGATCCTTAGGGGGGTCAGGGGAAGTTAACATTGTAGCACTTTGCAGTGAGTTCACTTAGCATGTGTTAGTTTGAAGTGCTTGTGTCTCTAAAATCAAACTTATTTATACTACAAAATGGCAAACACATCTATTCAAGAGCTGTATGTAAAACAGGGTTTACTGTGGCTTTCAATTAATGTTTGTCATTATTTGTGCTCACTGATGCGCTAAACCAAGGCCAGTGATTACGCTTAATGAACTGAAGCTGTTTTGCAAGAGAAAAGAGACCAACACAGAACTTGATCACCCAAGGGAAAAAAAACAACAATTAAACAACAATTATGACTTGGGAAAGTGCACAGCAATCGCGTTGTTATGTGTGGTGGTTAACTTCGTTCGCTTGGGTACAGTTTAAACTTTAACCTAACTCGGTATTTAGCGGTGAAAGCCATTCTGGCTTCCTTCAAATTATCCTTGGGTATTCTCTTCAACTTGTGAGTGGCTTTGGACTCCATTAGGCCTCACAATTGATTTATACATCAAGTAGTCAGCCAAAAGAGCGGACTCTAATGGAGCTCGAGAACCCAAGACAGCTGAATCCGTACAGCAACTGTGAGTATGTGAATAGCTCCACACAGGACATTTTTGACCTTCATGACGACGAGATTACGCCAAGAAATTTTTCATTCCTGGCTTCGTTGAGATCGATTAAAGGTCAAGACAATATTCATCTAGGTCAGGGATATTTTAAACTCAATTGCGATGAACATTCGAGCAAAAGGCCAGAATGCCCTTTTGCCATGATGACAGATGGTAAAGCATGCAGCGAGATTGTCAACAACGTGACGAAGACAGCGAAAGATGTTCCTGGTATGTTAGAGCAAGCGTGTCAGGAAGACTTTTTAAATTGTATTCCTGAGATAACAGAGAGCCCATCTAAGCGTTACTTGACAATGGGAACGAGAACGCAAAGAACTTGTGGAATGCTTCAAGAATCGAGTTTTGGATCGTCTAATTATGTACCTACAACTACGAGATTACGACATGGGTCTGCTCCAAAACAATTTTTAAACTTTACAAATACAGGTAGAGACTTTAATGGAATTCCAGTGTCAAACTCCACATCTCAGCAAAACATGTATTCCGATTATTACAGCAGAAACTATGACTGTAGTCCATTTTCTTACACATCACACATGCCTGGAAATTTCAACAAAGTCGGTCCAGACAGCTTTTCATCTGGAAGTAGTTGTAAATTTACTTCAGAGGGGATATCAARTAAACAATATTGTCATAAAGACAGATACCCCTACCGTCATGAAGTTGAATTAACTGTAAAACCAGATAATTCCTGGCATCCTGGCCATCAACGCAATGATGTTGTGTCTACTGTCAAAGTGAGGGTTGATATTATGCAAACATGTAATCCAAAAACCAGTCCTGTTGCTATATCAGATAGACAGCTTAATTTAAAGGAAGCTGATGGAAATATGTGTAAAATGTGGAGTGAAAAGTCTTGTGGTGTGCGTGACGACAAGCAAGCAGTGAAACATGATTACGGCACAGAACCTGGCATGAAAGGTTTATCGTTACCACTACACCACCAAACAAACTACTCATTAAAAAGTGAATTAATGAACGATGAGACAGAGCATCAAGAATTAGTTTGTAAATCAGAAAAATTATCACATATAGAAACTAAATCTGAAGTCAGTGGTCATGTGGATGAGAAGTTAACGTCTACCCTTAAAGATGAGCTCTTGGTTGACTTAAAGTATGACATAACCACACAACAAAAAACACTTGAAAATGAAGGTCAAACCAAACCAACCAAAACATGCCCTAACAACACCACCATTAAACCAGAACCCAAATCCAAGAAAACAAGAAATAATGCAACTAAGACTGCCAGTAAGCTAACATCAAAATCCTCCAAAGAAGCTTCACGAAAAACTTTTACTGGAAATAAATTAGTACCCATTCTTCCAAGACAACCTACTGACACGGGGTTCATGAATGGACAGCTCATGTTAATCGGGAATCCAAATGCCAGACATGATGAAAATAAGCAAAATATAAAGGAGACAATTCATATGAAGAGAAGAGTGCCTCCTAATGCTATTTTGTACAATGAATTGGCCGGACCTTGTAAGAAACCATATCTTTTCCAGCCAGACCAGGGAAAGTATCCTGTACAGTATACACCTACTAACAGTRTACAGTCGCAAGTATATCCTGCTCATGTCACTCATCAGAGTAATAGGTTATCTCAACCTGGAGCACCTCCGTCACCAATACAAAACCTGTCAGACTTGGTCGCAAAACTAATTCCAGACATTGATACCATGGCTGAAATCCCTGCAAATAACATGAACGCTTGCAACAACAATCCATGTTTTATTCCTACAGAATTCATTGGTAAGAATTATTCCTTGATATTATTATTATTTTACTGATCAATTTTCAGTTTAATGCATGTATTTATATGTTTTTGGGTATGATTTCAAAATATTTTTGTGATCGGTATTATAAGATATTGTGATAATGTTTGTACTTCTCATTTTCTTGGATGAATTTTCTTGGATGGAATTGTAATAACTTAACACAACACCTGCAGTAATGTTGTTCATTTGCGTACTTTCAAAATGTCATATAAATCAATGGATATTTTAATAATTATTGTCATAATGATTACTAAATTTTATTATTACTATGTGCACTATATTATCCTATACACCTATCAAAACAACAAAATCAAATAAACTAATAAWTATAAARATATAGTAATCTTAATTATTTATTTCTACAGGAGGACCATATCCACAGAATGTGCATGTTCCTGTCAACAAAGATATGTTACGACGCAAAAGTCAATGTGCATGCCCTAACTGCGTCGCAGGTGTCAACAGCAACCCTAGTCCAACACAACCCAAGTACCATAACTGTCATTATATCGGATGTGGGAAGGTGTGTATTAACTGTTAATGGACCACCATGTCTGGTCATTAACACTTTYGYATTGAAGTCAYCTGATAGCAATAATAGTTGATGATCATCAAAACACATGTAGTTGTGATGTCATAATGACACCARTGTTGAGTTGATTGAGTTATGATAGAAAAGTATTCTTCCTTGTGTTTCACAAAACAATTTTCATGACACATTGGGTATGCTTACATGCACGCTACTTTTGAGAATTTAAATCTACTTTTTGTTATTAAACTATGATTTATTTTTTTTTATAATGGTGACGATTCTCATAAAAAAGATAACTTTTGAAATGATAATTAAACCTTGTATACTACAATTCTGCATAAAAGTCAATAATGTACAAGTCAAGAATGAATTCAGAATGATTTCGTAACAATTATTTTATTCAATGATACAAGACTGTTTCAGTTATCTGTACAATAATATGTTACCTTCAGACAATTGGTAGAATTYTTAAAATGCAAATTGATTGATTGACAGGTCAACTGATTGGCTGATTGATTTATAGACAAATTGATTGAATGATTATTGACAAATTGATTGATTGGTAGATTGCTTGATTGACAACTGATTAGTTGTGTAATTGATTATCAAAGGGGTTGATGGATTGATAGGTTGATTGATTGATTGACACACTGACTGACAGTATCAAATCTATTGTTTGTGTTTAGGTRTATGGCAAGACATCTCACTTAAAGGCCCACTTRMGATGGCACAGGGGTGAAAGACCATTCGTATGTAACTGGGTAAGATTTCATTGTACATGTGGTACACTATTAGATATTTGGAAGTGCTTTCAGATTGGTTAGGAAGAAAACAATGCACATATTCAATTCTTTAYCCCAACACAYGACTGTAGTTTACRAGAAAAAGTTAATACTTCATCTTTTTGAAGCTCCCAACTTTCATTTCACTAGCACAAATGTCAWCTGAGGTTTRCATCTGTCCTGAGTTGTGATTTTTCATTTCTTTAGAGCATAGATGGTATTCAGTGTTTGAAAAGCTTTACAAGATCAGATGAACTTCAGAGACACTTGCGCACTCACACCAAAGAGAAAGCACACMGATGYAATATTTGTGGGAAAGCATTTGGACGRAGCGATCATTTGACCAAACACCTTAGAATTCATAAGTCTAAAGTACAACAAGAGAATGAAGGCCAAGARGCTGAACAGAAGGAAGCAACCACAGAAGAATCAGAGATAAAACACACTTAAAGCACAATGAATAGAAACCCATTTTTTTAGGTATTTGTGAGAAGTAAGTTATATATTTCATGGTGTATGTTTAAGTTTATTCATTCGCACGTAATTACACGATGTACTAACTATAATCGTCGAACGACATCCTCAAGTTAAAACCGTTTTTAGATTCTAAGAATTGATATCTTTTGTTAGTGAACCTCAATGTTATTCTCAGCAWTAATTAGAGACCAAATCAAAAAATGGTGGACCAAAGATTTTGAAAAGTCTATATTATTGTTCTGAACTCAATCACTKTTTATCCATACAAAAAGGCTTGTGTTATATAAACAAGAGGCTGGTCAGGGTAGARCAATGATCACAGTTTTCTKCTATGAAAAAATGTGTGAGTCTATCAATGAGGAATCTTTCACCTCAAGAAAAAGTCTGTGTATTGTGCTGAGGCTCTCTTTAACATTACTTCTCAAATTCATGAATAATAATTGTAAACAATGAAATAGAGTGAAAACATCTGTACATGTAAATGCAATTTAGAAACACATTTTTAAAATCTTTTCATTGATCATTTCTCATTATTATTCATGAATTTGGAAAACATTGAAAATCAAGTCTAGGATCATTTTAATAGTTTAGTGGCATCTTTGACATATTGAGGAATAATTGTTACAAACTTATGAAGTCTGATAGCACCAGAGGTTTGTAAACCTAGAGCTTTTTGATACTTGCAATCAAGTCTGTTTTGTATTTAATAGTAGAGAAATAAATAAGGATGCTTGGCAAAGATGCAGAGATCTATAAGAAAATTCTGCAAAGTTTTAACACATCTTCTGAAGATGTTTGTTCAGTACTGTTATTGATTTTTTGTTAATAATATATAAACAATATGTCTGTAAAATAGATAGCTTGCAAAATAGTGCAAAAATATACCAACTGACTATTTCACAGGTAAATTGGTTACAAAAAAGATGTAAATACTTTCTATATGGATGTTTACAACAGAATTCTAAATTATTTTACTATAAATTCCWCGTGATTTGTAAATTTATATTAAGTATGTTTTAGATTTACAAAAATAGGCTGAAGAAKTTACTACTGATTATTTTAATGCGGAAAAAGAAGTTCCATATATCGTATTTCTAAATAGGTATTTTTGTAAGATATTTTGTAACCGTTGTTCAAAGTTGAGATGTTGAATACGATTTTTGTCATGTTTATCAAACGTTTTTGTAGCTACTAACGCAATATTTAAAGTTATTTATTTTTTGAACGCCAATAATACGCTCGTTAATAATGAATAAAAATGATATGTATTTATATTATTGGTGCCATCTGTTGCCGTTCCTTATRCGCTGTATTAGCTTGTCCATATGTTGACATAAAGTTTCTTTCACAGCCTCCTCTTTCCCCATCATGGAACATTGCTAATCCGACCACCATAGGGAAATCGAAAAGCGTCCGTATTAATGGGAAGAAAAGTATGAGGGTTTTTAATTTAAAATTCGCCGCGACAAAAAAATCTGGCCGTTAATAGCACCCTTTCAGTTCATGGGAATGCAGCTCCAACTGGAGGACAAAACAATGAATTCCCAAGAGAGCAAAAATCTTTTGTCCTCCAGATCAGAGTTAGATAAAGGTGCTTCGACGTCACGTGCAAGGGGTCTATATAACGGAGTGGCCATATTAAGCGCGTGGTCGTTAAGGCGGGCGCTTGACTGTAAGGTGCTATCTATTAGAATTTTGAGGAGTGGCAGGGGGGAATTGTTTTGGACTTCAGGACGCTTGTATTTTTTGTAAATTTACAAAATCTATGTTTGGCTATGACACTCTAGTAAGTATTGCAAGCTGTTGCAATGCTTGCAAAAAATCAAGAAGTTATCCTGCAACGCTACTGACATGAAAAATTTCGCCACAACCCATGCTATACTATTCTAATTTTTCGGTAACATCGGGCTCTGGACGTGCGGTGTTACAGAGAACATTTTGGCCTTGTTACAACGCGCAATTTTAAACAAGATGCTGCAACACAGTGTAACGGGGATTGTCAAAATGGCTGGCGGGGTGCTACTGCAATGGCGTTGCAAGCTGCTGCGTTGCGTTTTTGCGAAGAGTAGTTGCGCAATGTGAAACAACAGTACGGACAGTCTCATGCCATTTTGGTCACTTTCCTTTTCCTGTTCAAAGTGAGTGACCGCTGTGCTATTTTGACAACGGGGACTCAAAAAGTTTTGAATTACCGTTGAAACAGTATCTGTTTTATCGTAAACAAYTCATATTTCTTTTCATAATATCAAAACATAAGTCAACTGCGTTAAAATGAAACTGTAATTTATTTCAGTTTGGAATATATTTGTGTAAAAGCGTAGAAATCACAAGGATTTTAGTTTTYTTCCTCAAATTCTATCCTAGCTTCCTTCCCAATTTGCTCCCTTTTCTTATTCAGTTATCTGCGTACGCAATAATAATAATTTAAAGTTAGGCTAGTGATATTTCGACATTCAAAATGTAGTTTTTAAACTATGATCTCTGATCACGTGAAACCCACGCGGGGGGTAAATTAATAAAGATTAATACTTTTAAATATTTACAGTAATGATGTATATTGACCATTAATTATTGTCATTAGCGTCGTCCAACGAAAATACGCACCGAATACARGTAATGTCACGTGGACTTTAAGGTGTTTATGACAATCAGGTGATCAATCACGTGACAACGCTTATGGCCCAATGAAATTTGACTATGTTCCGAAATAAAAAGGGCTAATGCGAGTTCAAATTTCGATAGTGCGTAGACCACGTGACATTTCCTGTCAGTTCCCTTTCCTCACAGGCAGCGCAACAAATCGCCATCAACATCCTCTGCTTTACAAAACCTTCTGTATTACGGTCAGCATGTCCAATTCTATAATAAGTACACAATTATCTGACCAGTTGATATCAGTAATAGAGAGTTTTYATAAACAATCCTCGTTGCTGACCGATACTAATGTTCAGATAAAAGCTTACGACGAATTTAAGTCGGATACCACGACGGTACGAGAACGAGCTCAAGCATTAAAGGGACATGGTCCACCAGAATTCACTTCGGTCATGTTTTAAATATTTCATATATTGAAAATGAGGTGAATCCAAATATCCATTCGAAATCTATTTCTATTCGTCAGTTTTAAGGTTGAATCTTGCAATATTTCCATTCATAGAGCATAAAGGGATAATAAAGAATAGTGGGAACTAGCGGTAAACTAGTGTGAGCTGCGTCGGTGTTTCTAAAGAAACAGTTATGTAAAAAGATAAATTTAACACCGTAAAAAAGTATGTGGAAAAACTTACTGACGTTTCGGATGTTAATCCTTCGTCCTTTCCTTACTCCGACGAAGGATTAACATCCGAAACGTCAGTAAGTTTTTCCACATACTTTTTTACGGTGTTAAATTTATCTTTTTACATAACTGTATAATAAAGAATATGTGTTTGCTTAACATTACGATGTATTTTTATCATAAACATAAACAAAAGCACGAAAGGGATGCTGGTGGACCATGACTCTTTAAAACTAGCAACTGACGCTTACGACCCGAACAATCTCCGATTCATTATCGATTTACACATGCACGTCCAAAATACGACCTCGTCAGCAATCGTCGTCGTGAAATCCGCTGAAATGTGTTGTAGATTATACCATTGATTATTTTGATTTGATATAAATATTTAAAATCGAACCTCCCTTTAATATTGTAGGTATCAAGCAAACCATTAATTATTGGAAAAATCTTTGCCACGATAGTCGAGAGGAATGTCATTTGCAATACTGGTTACACCTAATTATTTTAGCTTTGACTTGATATCAAATTTTGGTCATTAAAAATCACTTGAGGCCCTTTCAATGCGACAGAAAAAATCTTGGATTTGAAACTGTACAACAGAGAATATTCATTTTCTCGCGGACGGCCTGGAACGAACTCAGAATCGAGGCGAATTAGTTGACGTACGTCATACCTCGTTCCAGTTCGGTCGAGAGAGAAAACATACATAGTCAATCATCGCTGGCAACCCTACTAGACGAACACCTGTGAACTCCACGAGAAATAGTATAGCTCCCGGCAAAATTACATTCTAAAGCTAATCACTGAAAAAAGAGAATAATGAGGTGTTTACAAACATATGGCCAAAAATATTTTTTCGGCCAAAATACTACAYTTGCATACAAATATATACGCCTGTATACACATTACTTTTGAAAACAGATTACGAGTGCTAATTTTCCTCTAAACAAGCAGTCCCAAGTCTGGATTTCTTTCTCTGGTGAACACATTGATGTAGAGTTGCCCCGATATACTGACTTAATTTATAAAAAGGACTTTACTCTTGAGCGACAGTTGAGACACTTCCGACAGATTCTCAGCGTCGATGTTCCTTCTCTTTCAAACAAAGGTTTGATGTGGGAGGGCGATCGACCATTTTGTACACAGCGAAATAGCTTTTGAGAACTTTCGCTACAGCAACAGCACTTGGTTGGTGACTGACCATATCGCGTAGAATAACTACGACTTGGGTTTCCATCTGAATACATGAAAATGAGAAACTGTTTGAGCWCGACGATGAAGTTAGTGTCGTATTATACGATTTTTTGTTTGTTTGTTTGTTTGACTGTTTGGTTGTCTATTCTCTTCTTTTTGTTGCTGTTTTCTTTGGTTTAGCGTTTGTTTTTCACACGTAAACACCTGTTTTCAAAAACGTCGTCCTATTTGAAAATAGTAAAACGAAATTAGTAAAGAGTGAATACATTAGAAATTACAGCGTAAATCAGTAGTAACTCCGCTACACCAAACAATTGGGTCAGAAACAAACTGAAGTGCTTTAAATTTCGATAATTACTTTTTCCCCTGGCACAAAGAAAGTTTCTTTCTTTTTCTTTTCTTTTCATTTCCTTTCTTTTTTATTTACTATTTGAAAATTGCTGTTTACTTTTCCAAAGTGAATAACGTTTTTGAAAACAGGTGCATACTAACAATATACTTATGAAGGACCAAGTGAAAGAATGCAATAATCGAATGATTGAAAAAATGAAAAAATGAATACACAGAAAAACTCCTTGGAGCGCGGGAGAGATCYAGCTTACARACTAAAYGTGCAGCTGTGAGTGGAACGATACGGAGGCCATTTWGGTTYAAGATTACTATATAAAGCTTTTTTTTCTGATATGAATGACGATTACATCCAATTCACACGAGTAATTATTAATAGCGACAGACGTGWAACAGCCTGATAATTGTATGACATCTATAACAACATAACCATAAKCCTTTTCGGTCGTGCAGTCTCCGTTTAAAAATTTTATTTACCAAGAACTATGCAATGATTTGATAAGGTTGACAGATAGGAGCGCAATCAACCACCGCATATCAAGTTKCTCTCAAAATAGACCACTGTATTATAAATGTACGGAACGACAGAATGGGATTTTAATATGTGAAAGAACAAAGTACTGAATGGGAACAAATGAATGTAATGAATTGCTAAAGAAGATGGTCGGATGGATGGATGAATAATGTCCAATGCAAGGGAAGTAAGAAATAAAGGAACTTACCTTTAGCATCATCTGCCTTCGTCTTCTTATCCTTCTTGTCCGGATCGGCGTTCGAACTCTCTGAATCCTTTCTCTTCATGCCTCGGCCTTTACGAGTCGATCGTTTGAGACTCGCTTCAGCTTTCTCACTTGTCTTGTTACTACTTTGTTTCTCGTTTGCTGTTTCCTCGCTTTGCTTTGAGCATTTGCTTTCGTTTTGTTTACCACTTTCGCTTTCTGATTCGCTGACGCCTTTTCGTTTACGCGTTGAYACTGTTGTTGGTTTTGCMTCTGTGGTGGGGGAATCTTTCTTCTTCTCTGGAGGCACGATATTTTTATCTCTTCGTGGACTGGAACGAACTGGCTCTAGAACAGGAGCTTTCAGAGGCTTGGAAGAGGCTTTAATTTCTGTTGTTTTCAATTCACCATCATTCAGTGCTTTTTGCGTTTTTTCCATTTCATTTTCCTTGGTATGTTTAGGTTTATTTTCAGCTTTCAATTCTTCTTCTTTGTCCTCTTTTTTGCCCTCGATTTTGTCTTTCTTGYCCTGCTTTTCCTCCAAAGAAACTTCGTCCTTATTGGTTACCTTATCTTTGTCCTTGTTTTCTTTAATACTTTCTTTCCKTTCAATGGTTTCCTGTGGTTTATTAGCCTCTTTACCTTCAGGCTGAAGTTCATCTTTACTTTCATTTTCATTCTTGGTGGTTTTTTGTTTGTTTTTCTTAACTCCTATCATGGACTGCACTGGCTGTGTTCCAAAGTCAACTTGACTCGTAAGATTATTGACAGCCGGCTGTTTCGTTACAGAATCAAGACCTTTCAACTTCAAGAAGACAACAGACGTCTGGGACTGTACGATCTTTTCTTGTAAAGTGCTTAAAACGTGAGTTTTTTTGCTGGATTCTTTGTCAATTGATGATGAAATAGGAGGGAAGGTGTTCCTCAATGTGTCACCACTTCTAGTCGAACTCTCCACTTTTCCATTCTTAATAGAGACGTGAACCATCTTTGTATCTTGCTTTGGCGGGACTTGCACCAAAGTCTTTTCAGGTGGTTTTTCTGGTTCTTGTTTAACGGTATTTACACCGTTTTCTTCTGTCGGCTTTTGCRCAGATTTAGAAAGTTCTTTTGTCTGTGTTGAGCTCTCGTTGTTTGTGTTTTTCACTTCAAATTTTGCAGTTTTCTTGGCATTTTTCACTTTCTGTTTGATGAACTTGTTCATGGATATCTTTACTTTAGACTTGGAAACCCTTGCTGCATTTTCTTCGGCACCTTTTGGCTTCTTGTACGGCACGCAACGACGACAAACCTTCATTACTTTAACATCCCCTGTGAATAGTGGTCGGATCTTTTCAGGRGCATTTTCTTTGCGGTAGCATGAATAGGACTTGGTCACKAGGTTCGAGCAMAGCGAGCAAATAATTCCACAAGTTCTCGTTGGTGGGTCTTTGTTTTCTTAAAYAGAACAAATGCATAAGTCAATACCCTAACATATCACAATAATGATAGATGAAGAAGATAAGTTAGAACAAGTGGACACTGCAGTAGAACAATGAAAATATATCCTAGTTGTATGGCATCGCRCGTTTTGAGAAGGGCGTCGCAAATTGATATTGATTCAATCGTTCAATACTTATGAGTGCATCAGCAAGGGCGTCATTCCAATTAAATGGGTTTTGCTTTCATAGAAGCTTAAGTAAATGGTATATTAAGCGCTCTTTGTGTTATTACAGTAGACACAGATGGGTGACATCTTACGTGCCTCCTCTTTGATATACATGGGCGGTTCCAGTTTCTTCTTCAGAGATGGTTGTATCCCTCCCTCCCCCCCCCCTCCCCCCGCTCTCAAGCTCGTTATAACTTATGACGAACATTTCACGCTGATATACTTAAAAGGATAGATAATATCTAAGAGCTGTAAATCCTTGAACAAATAACACTAAACAGCTGAATGGGTTATGCAATTATCTAAAGCACACAAACATGTGCGTACCTGTAGAGGTTCCAGTTGAGGTTGCTTCCTTCTTCTTCACTTGACTGTTATTTTTAATCATATTTCTGATAGCTGTCTTGGCCAGCGAGTCAGCCTTAATGATTTTYGGTGGTTTATTAGGGACTACAGGTTTCGCTGTTGCCGCTGTCTTGATCAGCTTGAGGTTTTTAGCAGCAGGCAGAGCATACGCATGGTCCAGTAATGTCAACTTGTAGTTGATGGTCCTGATTTCACTCTTTAACTCACCATTAGCGTTCTCTGGTGTGCCTTCAGCCTCAGATTCCGCTGTCTTTTCTTCAGGTTTTTTGTTGAAGATTTTTATCGTCGTCAGTTCAGTCTTGGTATTAGTTTTCCCTCCTTCTTCAGTTGTCTTCGTTATCTCGCCGTAAGTAGTGAAGTGGTTTGGGTAAACTACAAAGGTGTTGCTGTTTGGTCGAACAACAGTCACAACACCYGTGCCATTCGACTTCTCGACGCCATTTGACGGCACAGTTTTGGCAGATAACGGCTCTTTTTTCATGGCTTTGGCYAATGTATTCTCATCGGCATCACTCAAATAATCTTCATCCAGAGTTTCATCACAAGTAAGGTCCTCGTAAGGTCGCTTTAAGCTCCTACCAATATCCCGTGTCAGGAACTTCATCGAGTGTGAGCGGCGATGGTGGGTTGTACCAAGAGGACTCCGCAAATGAATGTACTGTTCCGTCTCAGAYTTCAACAACAGAAGAGATAAGTTTTGTCGACACCGTTCYTTCGAGCTGTGGCATCTCTTACAAACGCGGAATCTATCTGTATCAGGATCAAAGAAGTTCTTTAGGTGATTCGGAGCGCTACTGCGACTGATGTACCGATACGACTTGTAMACTCGTAAACCACAGACTCCGCATCTCATGGGCTCGGTAGGACCTGACAATCAACAAATATAGGTTTACATACAGACGTTTGAAGATTTCCAGATTCGTAGGAGAGCTAAGAACTGTAAAATGAAAAGTTGCTTTCTGCTCACAGTAAGCCACTAGAAACATGATTTTTCACAAGGCAAGAAATTGAAAACCAACAACAACAACAACAACAACAAAATCTTGTTAAGTGTTAAAATCTTGTTTGTATAAAACTGGAAGTTTTGAAATCATGAAGAAGAAAGTGTTTGTGTTTTCCACTTGATAACTTCTGGCAATATTTTATTTGAATTTTATCACTAAAATATACGAAAACATTATTCGACATAAAACTGCCAAGAAACTAATTAAAGGCCAGTTACGCGCCATACAACTTTATCGAACCACAATGACATCAAATTTCGGAGGGAAAATTAACGAGAAAATTAACGAGTTTTCAAAACCCGATAACTATTTAATTCAAATGCGTAAAACTGACAGCAGAATACACGATGTGTTAAGGCTCTCAGTAAACCTGTGCAGCTTGTCAGAATAAATTGGAACATCGTTACAATGATAAATGTATTTATTTTTTCTTAATTTCATTGTAAATGTTTTTAGCTGAGATCTTCAAACAAAACAGTTGTACACAGCTCAAGAATCGTCGAGGAGATTTTCGCTCAAAACAATTCAACAGGAATGGATAATTAGCTTATTGCAGCGAAATTACTGGTGAAAACCATGGCAACATATTCACATCGACTAAAACCCAGTCTGTCTTCGTTTTCTCCCTCTTCTTCTTCCTTTTTTTTGACTAATCTGTGTTTATCACGCTGAAGRATACTATGAAGCTTATTGCATAATTATTTTAGCTTTCCGTACATCTTATCCATTTAATWTCTATGTGCATATTCACATCACGACAAAAATAACACACGGAGTCGATTTTTGTGTATTTTTTACAAAACAAAACCGGGTAAAAAAAGATCAATCTATGATAAACCTCATACATTTTACATACTTTTTGTAAAGAACCTCGATTCAACAACTTAACTAGAGCTTCAAGAAGACATATTTTTTACCTTTGCGGACCTCTTCAACTTCTTTCTCTTGAGCTTCATCGCTGGAGTCACAAGACTGTGGYGAACTTGGTGGTACATAGGATTTGGCTAAATGGAAACTGAAAGGAAATGAACACTGGATGAATAGATGAATAAGAATTAATAAAATAAAGATAGATTAACAAATGAATTATTAAATGAAGGAAGGAAGTTCAGTGGAAGAAAGAGCTAAAGAGTGAAATGTATAAATTATCAGACTGAGGAGAAAACTAAAAAGAGTTCATAAATATTTAGCTCTTTTAAGGTGAGCATCAAAGTGAACATTTATTTTAAGATGTTCTATATAAGGAACTGTAATAAGTTGAGTCTGCTCAAATAAGGAACCTCGCAATCACTGGGGATAATTTATTTGTGTTGCTGCTTTCTGAAATAATCTCTTAATAGACTGAGTCTTGGAATTCAAAAAAGGTCATTTCACTGAAACCAGGTGTTTGCCATATTGAKTTTTACCATCTTTGAACACAAGAATGCCTTATAAGATCTTGGTGTACATGGAATTGTCTTTTATACCTGCTAGCACTAGCACGCCTCTTCTCAGGAACTTCTTCTGGTGTACTTTCTAAATCCTATCATAAAAGAAAAACACTTTTTACATGAACAGATAATAAAAAAACACTGCCAGAAGTTATCAATGAAATGAATATACTACCACAATCTAGAGTATGTCCGATTACCAGAAAAATGTGCAATTTGTTTATATCAAATTACATTTCCTAAATTTAAAAGTTAGTAGTTTTATTTCTGACATTATTATTGCATTTCATTTCAAGGGAAAATAACAGATTAGCATCTGGTGAAATTTGTTAAAAAAACACTAAATTTTCAACCATGAAAGCATCCTTCAGCTTAAAAAAACATCAGAAACAATCAGTTCAAAAAATTTGTGGACAATCTGAAATGTCCTGGATATGGGTCAGTCAATCGAACGCCAGCCCCCAACTCCTGGAAAGAGACAGAAATCAACATTTATACAAGACTCATGCTACTTTTTCATTTCAAAATTCAATTATTTACTAAAAAGTACTTTCCCAATACGTTTAAATTACAAAAATCTGATTTTCAAGGTCTGGTTTTTAAATGCTGTCTGAGTGTCTTGGACACTTTCTTGAAGTGAATTTCAAAAATGTCCACATTTAACATACAGGYTTTAACAGATTCAAGACTAATTCTAGKAGTTTGTTGTTTTTTTCCTATCTTCATAGACTCCCTGCAGCCGTTTTCCAGTGTATTAAGAGACGACACCATAAAACGGCTGCAAGGAGTCTACTATCTTCAASGGCTTTCTAAACACCAAGTTTTCAAACAAGTTTTCAGTTCCTCCATGGCGAGGTTGAGAGAAATGAAAAAATATAAAAAGGAAATGATCTGTATAGTGTTTTTTCATAAGAGCTGGGAAAAGCAAGGCCTTCCTAGGGTCGTGGTGCCACTGGTTTCATAATCACAATGTTTTTTAGTAGCAGAGGAACTCATTTCATGGATAAAAAGACACTAAAAACAATCATGAAATGAAAAGTTGGAGCACTGGAAAACGCTGTCTTAAAGAACACTTGAAAAACGAAGCTTCTTGCCTATTTTGAGCAATGGTTGTTCAAAGAGTGAAAAAAATTACAAAGGAGCAAACAGTGGAAGCTAATAACATGTACAAAGAAAATGGAGCGACCTTTCTTTTTGTGTGACAGAGCAAGGAAGATAATTGAAGCCATTGGTTCACGTTGCAACAGCTTTATTCACACAGAAAAAGAAAGCYCTTTCAGTMTAATGGTGTAGGGCAAATATATTTCTAAATTCAAATAATTGGCAAAAAAGGAAAGAATAAGAAAAGAAAGAAAAATGAAAAGAAAAGACATCAAAAGTCAATCAATGTATCCTACCAACACGAAAAAACATGCACTCTGTCATGATCAATAACTATCAGATYATATAGCCTTCTAAAAAAAAAATCAATCRAGTTWAGGTTTCGTCTTTTTTTGGTCATGGTCKTYGGACTAGCAAACTTATCAAAGAAACGACAGAARTAAACAAATTTTATGGATATACTGAAATTTAACTAATGAATATTAAGATTCACTATAAAATTTTTATCAAGCAGAACCCCWAGTTYACCATGCAGCTATGCATCTAGTTTAGCTAGAATATCATTTTGTTATTATTCAAGCTGTTGGTAAATCGTTCATAGCCACCATATTCTGACTTCACCCTTCCTTCTACCTTTCACAATTATAGCAAATCATGGAAATATAATTTTCTATAATTTTTCCAAAGGCACCACATCAAATGTAATGTAAGTTACAGAATCAGATCAACCATAAAAATATTAATAATGGCAAAAAGAATTGTCAGAATTAGAGAGTTGTAGTGGAAATGCTTATCAAGCTTGCAAAGCAGTCTTGGGATTTTTTGTGTAGAGATTGGGTTAAACACAAGACCCTTACAAAACCAATGTTTAATAAAATGCTGAAATCTTTTGCTTCCATGGTTTCAAAAGAAATTGTCAATTAATGGTACCTGGATACCTTGTAAATATGAGCCAATTAATTTAAATTTTCAGATATCCAATTTTAAAAAATTATCCTGACTTCATATTCCACTGAGATATTCCAAGAGAATCCATGAAATAATCAGGTCTTGAAGCATCGCAACAATATTCATTMTCAGTAATTACGTGGGCTTCCTGTGAAAGACCATGTCTAAAAATGTCGATGGACTTTTCTYCTTCTTGAATATTACACTTCAAATTGGTAGCGGCTGTGTTGCAGATGGTCTGCAGTCCCAGTTTCCATGGGGATGTCAAACTAAACCAATCCGCACATTTTTTCATTTTTGACACGTAAGTGTTTTGTATCTCAGTCAGCCCACGTGACCTGATTGCGATATCTCACTGCACTTTATAGCTACTGTGTATATACTACTGTGGTTTGTGACCAAGAAAAGCAAGCTGATCAAGAAAATGATCAAAGAAATCAACCCTAGAATGCTGATCTCATTTATATATACACACGCTGCTCATGGTAGGCCAACACTTCTAAAAGATGTCCAGTGTAATTTTTGGAACATGCCRCTMCACGAACTCAAAGTTCTTACTAGTTMTTAMGAGATATCACAATTCAAATGATCAAGTTACAATACYRACAAAACTGCAAATACTGTACCGTTTCTATTGTTTATGACCTTTCAGGTCATATATTTTGAATAATCTCAATGCTCTTAGAGCGTAAAGTTGAGCTAGCTATTTTGGAAAACTGAGAATGAGGAAGACACATATTTAAAAAAGTTACTTAGAGTTCAGTTCGGTAAAAAAAGTATGCTGTAGTAAATAACTTATACTAACTTAATTCTGTCTTGTCTTATTTCAGACAAAGACTGTATCATGAAAATGAAATACTTATATCTCAATGATGGCAGCTGCCCCACTGTCGCAGCTACAGGAAGCCCACGTAAACGATCCATGATCGTCTAGTTTACAATAATTATTAACGCATTTCACCACTTTCAGGAGTGCCTATCATCGATTTTATACTATTGGAGACATTCAGCATTGTCATATGGAAGAACTATCAGAAAAGGTTGTTGTAGAAAGTTTTGAAGCCATTGACTAAATACTAAATGAAGTTATGGAGGAACAAAAATACAAAATTTGCTGAGACCTTGATGAGGCTTGGTGCCCTGACGTTTTGGTGTTTTTATGCACCTTCTAACCCTTATAACTTCAAAAGGATTTAATATTTATCTGTGAAACTTTCAGAACATATCATAAGCTATGAKATCTATCATCTGAGGGTGTTMTTTTGTCAACATTACGAATTTTACAATAATACGCYAATTAGTGTTGGCCATTATGAAAGTCGTCAATACTGKARAATAAACTTTTCAATCATTTTTAGTCCATTTAAAACGATCACTGATTTGATAAATTTTTGTAAAATGATTCTAAATATTGAAAAATGTGACCAGAGCCTAAGAGATTAAAAATGTAGACAAGTAATAATAAATAGATTTGACTGTCCTGCAAACACCCTCCTTAGTGGACACCTTTATAGTGTGGATAGAGGTTAAATTTGACAGCACAACTTTTGACTATAACCATGTCATGAAATCTGCCTAATGCATCATTGTAACATGRCTACAACTGCCATAAAGTTTCAAAAAATAATATCACAGCARTTGTGAAGGCATGTTGTAAGGACGACGAAGGCATGTTGCATACAAATGCAAACATTATGACATCTAATATGATTGACAATACAATTTGGTCTCTATACCATTTTCCCATACATTTGCTGTAACAAAGACCTTGATTTGCTTGCAGCAAAATATATGATTGTTTCTCTAATATGAAATAGTAGTTATGGTTATAGTAATTCCATTTAAAGTACATTTTGTATTATTCAAATGCAATGAAAATGGATGATTAAAAAACATTCCAAAATTAACTTATTATCTAAGACAGACCAAGGGCGCTAGAACTGAAATTATGACTTATAAGATCCAAAAATTGCTTAATTTATCCAACATAAGATAGTCGATAATAAATTGTAAAGTTTTACTTATCTGAAAAATACACTGAAATGTCCTCTTAGACACTAAAAAGCACTTGATTTTACGAAATTCATCCAAATGATCGTTACTCAAGCGGTTATTGCTGAATTTATTACCGCTGTCCTTGTTGTACCAGCCACTGCTGTCTCGCCAGGAACGTTATTCATTAACCGGATTAAAATCACTTTGCCCTGGCCGAACACCAAAAGAGACAGGGGCAGGCCCCTTTGACCACTCGTCTGACTCACTAATCGGATTAAGTTGACAGGACCTAGGGACACTGATGACAGATTAGTCCTGGCCAAGCGAGTCTTCGTAGGCCGAATGTGACCTCGTCAGAGGTCGGGATTTGAACTAAAACGCTCTCTTCTTGAGGATGGTCAAAACTATCGCCATTTAAATGGACAAAGTGTCTGGCCGAAATCTAAGTCCATTTGGAAGAAACCGAAATGAAAGCTAAATGTTAGTCGTAAAGCACCATTCACAAACAAGTTTATGCGACTGACACTTTGAATATAATGCTGCTTAACAAGCTTTAAAATGTACTGTTTCTATTTCTCAATTCAACGTTTTTAAACACGAATTCAACACACTCACATTTTAGTTTCATATGTAACAAAAATTATTGACGAGCGCTTCTCTCAACTTTTAGATGACTTTCGATTCGAAACCCGACGAGTTATAAAACATCGCGACGGTAGCGTATTTTTACTATTTCGGGCCTACAAAGACTCGCTCGGCCAGGACTAATCTGTCATCAGTGTCCCTAGGTCCTGTCAACTTAATCCGATTAGTGAGTCAGACGAGTGGTCAAAGGGGCAGCTAGTTATTGCCTGCCCCTGTCTCTTTTGGTGTTCGGCCAGGGCAAAGTGATTTTAATCCGGTTAATGAATAACGTTCCTGGCGAGACAGCAGTGGCTGGTACAACAAGGACAGCGGTAATAAATTCAGCAACAACCGCTTGAGTAACGATCATTTCGAAGAATTTCGTAAAATCAAGTGCTTTTTAGTGTCTAAGAGGACATTTCAGTGTRKWTTTCAGATAAGTAAAACTTTACAATTTATTATCGACTATCTTATGTTGGATAAATTAAGCAATTTTTGGATTTTATAAGTCATAATTTCAGTTCTAGCGCCCTTGGACAGACACCATTTTCCAGTCCTGAAGGTGTCCATCTTGTAGGGGGTTCACAAAAACCAATCCAGTTTTTATACTCTTAATAAAATTGTCATTCAATTCATGTGATAATGTATTTTAGTATGAATTGCTTTTTTAGACTTAAATATAATTTTTTCACATTGGACATTTATCTTACATCTCTGCCAAATGATTGATTGAATCAAGCGTAGATGAGACTATTGAAATACTTGTAATTGCTGTACTTTGGAAAAGATGGGAATGAAATGAGGTCCTAAATTTAGATTCAAAAAAGGAAAAAAAAATACTTTTGTTTTCCAGATAACTTCCACCYTTGCAATAGTTCAATTTCAATATTATAAAAGAACCAAGGACAACGCTCAAGGTACCAAAAGATTCTTCGGCTGCTCCAGAGCCTTACCTTGAGCTCTCTTGCATGTAGATTTTGGTCAACCGAAATATTGAAAGTGTGCTATTAATATACCTTCAATTAACAAAGAGAAATATSCAGTTCAGCAAAAAAGTTTTCCAAGAACCACCAATTTTCCAAGACTATTATTTAGTTTCAAAGTCCAAATATTTATTAAAAGTTTTCAAACTTTAAAAGGTAATATAGCACWGAAACAAGACAAAAATCAGATTTATCGTAGGAATAAAATCATCGCGAAACTATTTACGACATTCAGAAATTTATGAGAATTCAAAAATGAAAGGTATTTCTGATTTGCACTGTTGTGATTCACGTGGTCTTTCATGGAAACAACATGTCCGTTCTTGCAAAACTCGGCCGCGTTCTCTAGCCAGCTCTCCGTCAAAAGTACAATTTTAAATTAAATAAAATTACAATAGTACTAACTTGCGTTAGCACAGAAAATGTGTTTACTTTGTGTATATTGTATGCTAAACGCGCTGTTTGCGGAATCCGGCGGCGGCAAAATATTGCCACTATGCAAAAGCGCTGCGACGCGTCGTAAAATCAACTAATTCCAACGAACATAATATCGCGTTACAAGAAGCGGTAGCTACCCATTGATGCAAGAAGAAGTGATGGAAGCGAATTTATTCGATGCCCGTCTGGCTCGATCAGAGATGCGCCGAGAAACAAAATGGTCATCGTATTGATGATTTGAAGACAATTCACGCATCAATAATCACTCTTAGTTACGTATGTTTCGTTTGCTAAACCCCACGCACATTCATCATTTTCACAAAAATACAAGTTTTAATMAAAAGTCGACGYTAGGTATCCTATATGGTTAATAAAACGTGCCAATTGAAGTATGCGATCCCTATGGCAGGCCAGAGCAAGTTTGGGAATAGCGCAAGAAAAATACAAACACAGAACGATGACTAACCGAGATTCGACGCGCGACCTCGACAAATATAAATAGACATAGGAATACTTAACTAAGACGATGTTTTTAGAAGTTATACAACTGAGATACATTCTCTTATAGGACTTCTATCGATAAAGAACAWCTGAAGATAACAGACAATGAAAATGCGGTTTTGTAATGTCGTTAAAAATACCTGTTCACTCGTGTTACTGTGTGATGAAGATGCGATCGGTCGTTCTGGAACTGAAGTAGTGCGCGCGAGGATTTTTGGTCTCAGAAGGCAAATCCTTCTGGGTTTTGATGCGTAAGTTATCTCAAGAGGAACCTCTACGATTATATTAAGAGAATCCCTCTAGCATGATAGCGAAAATGGATAATACAAGGGGTATAGAGCGAGTGCGCTGATAGAAATGCTTGTGAACGACGCCCGCAATGTCCAAGGTGTGAATCGAATTGACGAATTTTCCGTGTGCGCACAACACAGTTTCGAACTCTATTTGTCTTTAATATCTCATACCGTACAYATTTATTATCAGTAGAAGAAAATGAGAAGACATTAACGAGTTATCAGGCGAGAATTTCGTTACAGAGTGCGCTGAACCGCACCGGACAAGCGAAATAATCTCAGCTTTTACGTAGTACACGAAGACAACTTTAACTAGAACTTTACCATGTGCGCTTACGACTCAGCTCTTTCATTTCATAGGGCAGACATTCGTTTCAAAGCACTGCGTAAGGCAATTCCAAGGCCCCAACTATCTTTTTTAGAAGTTTTTAGCAATGCGCAAAGAAAGCAATTCGAAAAATTGGCAAAGACCGCTAGGCTAGATTGACTTTAGCGGCGCGCAGCTACCAGAAATGTAAATGAAACTGACACAATTGCGCGTTGCGCTGGCAATGTGAGGGCAAAATCTTACCTCATCGCATTCAATTTGCTCTGATTTTGACTCTGGAACTCCAAGAGAAAGCCTGTTAACAACCTCCAGAAGTCCTGGCCTGGAAGATTGAGGGAAAAATAATAAGAACCGAGTCAAATCGTAAACCCCTTCGACGCGACGTCACGCCACAAAACTGAAACACGGAAACTCAAAAGTCTTTGCGGATAATCAATCCTACAACGAAGAAATACCAACCGCTTCTTCCTTGAAGACACAGAGGACATCCTGAGGCACAACGGGTTATTCCAAGGCCTACTGCAATCGCGAAATAAAGACGATGGTCAAATCAGAAGCTCGTGAAGGGTGGTGTTAGAAAAAAGCTGCGCGGATTTGCATAAAGTCGAGGACGTTAGCGCGCTGTTGGGGCTAGCTTTCCCATGATGCTTTGTAAAGAATAAACCAGGTCGAGGCTAAGCGCACAGCATGACGGGAGAAATGTCAAGACAGGAAGCCCATTCTATGAATTACTTTTCTTTTTGCAACTGGTACTCTTAATTTTCCTTTTTGATTAAAGTAAAGTAAATAGTTTAACTTCCAAACACAACTCGAGAGAGTATTTAAAAAACATTACTTCCTTTTTGTACTATTTTTAGTTATTACAAAGTGCCTCCGGGTGGTCACTTTACCTGGTTGCCCCGGGCTTTTGTGAATCGCAATAGTTGATTGTTTTTAAATCAACTTTATAAATTTCATGCATTATCACGCTTTTGATTATATATGCGTGTAATTTTTGGGTGAGAATGCATTGATAAATACATATCGGAAGTCGTGTAGTTGCCTTGGTACTGATCTGTCCGGTATAGGCTATCTGTGCATGAGTTTCGACTTTTTTAACAATTAAAGAAAAACTGAGGAACTGGCTACTTCGAACTGATGCAGAAATAAGATTATCCACTTACTATGAAGCATATAACCAATAAACTGTAGTATGAGCCATTAAGAGGACCTTCAAATAATTATGAAAATTTTGACAAGGTAAAGATGATAGTCAAAATAAACGTCTTGGAGACGCTATTTTTTCAATAAATACAAATTCTTAATCTGACGGATCAGTGATTGCGACCTATTTCAACATCACGGTAGAAGGGTCAAATTCAATCCACATCTGCCACATGGTTACGCTTGCTCGCTGAAAATAATGAATTTAAAAATCAAACCGAAAGTGAACAACCAAGGTCTTTATCTTATTGCAACTCAACGTCTAGTGTATCAAGTGTCCCTTAGGTACTTGTTTCTGTCCCACGCGCCCAGTTAAATTCTTGACGCCTCTCTTCTTCAATTATACGCTGTCCTACTTCAAGACAAGTGGCAAACTATTTTTCGACAACGCAACTGAAGTGGATCTTCAGTTGGTAAAGGCGCACGAAAACATTAGCGTAACGAGACCTGCAGATCTATTTTTCTACGAATGAACTGTTTKTTGCATGTAWGACTAAATTGTGAARTCATATATAGAAGTGCGCRCGTGTGCTCGAATGATTGGGAGCCTTTCCATAATTGTCTTCTAGGTCATGGTGTACAGCTCAGAACGATAAAGTCTATCTTTAAATCCTTTAAGAATCGAAAGAGGAAGAGATCTATGGAGAGTCTGATTTCCCAGGAGATATTAAAAGTGAGATTTTACATCAAGGAAGTGCGMGTTGAGATTCACCAGACAAAATCCCCAAACAGAATAATTTACATYGACTCAGTTTAATCTCAAGCTGAACCAACTGGTTCGGGTAGAAATAAACATTTGATAACATTTTTCATTAAGTGATATTGGAACGAATAATCATGCATGCTGACACGTGACATATCAATGTAGCCTAGACAACGGTCTTTGATTTCATTGGGTTCAGTACATTGCTCTTTTTTAATCCCAAGCGAGATCCTTCCTCGAAGTCCTTCGGCTGCTTTTCGGATGGTTGYTGGTGCTTTAGTCATGTTCTGACTTAGAACAATGATGACTCGATCACAGTCTCCAAACGGTTGGCTATTTGTGGTTACCTGGTAACGCCTCACTTCAAGAATTCCTCTAATCCACTGGTTTACCCACAATGCATCTCTTTGGCAATGGAAGATGTGAACTCTGTAGTCTGATTGGACTGGTGAATAAAAAATACTTAAATTAATTCAATCTATAATATACGATAATACAAGGAGGAGGAGTTTCAAGACCTCACCGTGCGGTCAACCTGTTAGCTATATAATGAACATATTTGATATCACGCAATGATTCTTGGTAGCAAAATGAGGCAAAATATTATTATTACACTTGTTAGTTGATMTAGCATTGTTGATCTTCCTTTATTGCACCTGAAAGTGCGCAAAATGGCATATCTAAAATTGCAGTAAACCGTACTAACAAGAGCGAACCAATCTAAAGAAATACGACGAAGATTCGAATCCATGACCTGCTCTACTATGTGCCTGAAGTATCTATACCCTATTGAACTATCATGATCATAGCTTTGACTTACCCCACTCTGGGTCAATTYGATCTTTAGATATCCTCATTGGGTATCGTACACTATGACTGGGTGAGTGTTGTCGTAGGTTGTCTTGATAATCGTTGATTCCTTTACTGTAGACATTGTTGTCGATCAACCAWTGTAGGTGTGTCGTCCTCAAAGATACAGCCTTGTTCTGATGTTGCACGGGCACATCACCTACATMTGTGCAAAATAGACAAAAAAATATTTGGCACAAATAGGAGATTTATGTCTTATTCGCCAAATCGCGTGTGCTATATCTTGTTACAGTTTTGATCACGTTTTCTTTGCAATCTTATGCAGCAAACTTTTATCATATGCTATCTCTAGAATTATTATGTACTTATTGACTGAGTGGGAGGGCCGTACGGGAAAATATTTGGCTCGAGGTTATGCCGTACGGAACTAGCGCAGCGAGGTCCGTACAAATGACCGAGAAAGATCAAGCCGGGAAGATACGGGTTTGTACGTGCGGCCCTGTCGCGAATAGGCGTACGGCCCCCATCACGTGACCATTTCCTAAAGTTTTTTTAAGAGCGCGCGTAGGGCCGAAATACGGGTCATATGATAAAACAGGTTTTCAAAGCAGATCGTCGCGCAGAGCGGAATTACAATGTAAAAAGAGTTGTCTGATGAGTTACGCATGCGCTTCTATGTATTTTACAGACTAAACTTTGCCTAAACAAAAAAATTGAAAATTGCGACATGACCCCTGTTACACAAGTTTCGCGACATGCGCTCAAACTGCTTAAAAAGAATTGCATTGTAACACCACCCTTCATCAGCGATCGAGGATTTCGGCAGAACTTCTTCTCCTGATTAGAAGTTGGACTCAAATCTAATGTTCCGGTTTGATGGTTGCCCGGCGGATTTCGTTTTTGCGAGAGGAAATTAAAAATAGACTCCACTATGGACAGAAAGATTTCTGATGAGCACGGAGTACAACATGGCAACATAATAAACTGTTAAGTCTATAATTTACCTGTTCGTTTARTTGGTTTTATTGAGGCAGGGCGTTCTTTTTCTCTTCCATCGTGAAGACTTTTTGTAGAGGTTGCTCGAGTCCTCGGTTTTTCATGTCCGTTTTCAGATTTACTTCTCCCTCTCCTCGCATCTTCAGATTCCATTATTTGCGAATTACTCGCTCTATTTGATCGCTAAACAATGCGAAAACTAAATATGATAAGCTCGTTATATGCTTAATAAAGATAGTTTTACTCGGCCAGATCGTCTGGATTTTATTAAAAATTGAATGAAGAATTAGAAAATAGTTCAAATTGTTGTAACCAAGGKAGAARATCGATTCGAAAACAAAGCGCTTGAAACAGACTCAAGACAAATACACACTACAAATTTGTTTTTTTGAATAATATAACCTTGCTTCTTTTTGAATCTTACCTGATGATATGAAATCCTAGTAGTTCTTAATAACAACAAATGCAGAATCTTTTCCTCTTATTTGTGTATTAGTTACCGAAGGATRTTGGAATCTGAATGATTCCCAAGCAGGTGTTTAGAAAAAAAGCCACAGACCACTCACTGAACTTACAGTAAAAACTGCTTTATTTACACAAAACAATCAACGGTATTGGTCCAATCAATAGAATGGTATATAAATAAAATTTTTGTGTTTGGGAAAAATTCGGCAAACGAATTTATGAGCAAAGCGAGTTTTAATTTAGTGATCGGCCAGACCTGCAAATTAGGCCTTTCTTCACCAATATTCAGGTTTCGCAGGCTGGCCAAATACTATAGTTTTGAAATAATAACTTAATCAAGTTATCTCAATGGAATGAAGCGCACTAAAACATTCAGAGGAGCATGAAGGGGATCGATTACTTCGTCCAAATCCCGGTCCAATACAGAGTAATTCTGCATCGTGTCATATCAGAATGCACAAAACACAGAACAACAGCATGTTTCCCGAGTCTTTCTCAGCAAAATTGGCCTAAAAAAAGTACTAATTATTAAAGGAATCAAGCATTTAATTTTCAATGAAGGTAGTTTTACATCAGGGTCATGGTGACCAATGAATTCACTTCACCGTTCATGAGAGGAAGCACTCTAATAGATCTGTCCCCATAAGAGCATAGCAACATCCATATAAATACATATAAAGGAATGAAATTGATGGGATAATGTGAGAAAGTTCAAAAACTAAAAGCCTGAAAAAGTACTAACCAAATAGTTAGATTTTACTCTTTGATCATAACAAATATTCAAAACATACTCATGTTTTATATTGTAAAAGTCCTTTCCTTTCAATAGGTATACATAAAACACTTTTGACATGTTTCACATTGCAACAGTAATTTTGTACAATTTCCAAACAATCAAACAYTTCACAAATAGATCTATGATGAAGCTGCTTCTTCTTTTGGTGGCCATTTTCCTTCTTTTATAAGTCTTTCCTTTTCATTCTTTATTCTTTCAATTCTTGTGTACTAGAGAAAAACACAATTTTTAGTTTAGTATACTCTTAACTAAATGGCTTTTATTTGGGACTGCTATGGCATTTTAATTAATTGGTCATATTCTAGTCCAGAACTCAACCCTCTTTTATGAATGCGAGTGTGGAATTGAAAACTATTTAAKTATATTTGAGTCAACATACTCAACAGTCAGGATAAAAGAGGACCCACTTTTCTCAATTTTCTTAGCATGCTCGTCATTGGATTTTTAATTTTTACATATAAAACATAGTAATTGTAAAAAGAGAGTCCAGTTCTGCACTAGTCATATTAGTCATAAAATRTTTTTGCATGTGTTCTAGACATCTCACAGAATTWCTCCAGCGTTTACACATTATTCCTACATAACAAGATTTATCTCAGCCAAGTTCCCATGTGTTCTTTGCTGGGACAAACAGGTCCTGGGATGAGTGGGTGTTCACCAGCGACAATCACATTGTGATGTCATGTTAGGCTAGAAACAAGGAACACCTTGGGACGAGGCTGGGTTTATCTGACCACTCATTTGCTGTGAGTAGTCCAGGTGTATAAAATATTCCCACTCTACTTTTGAATTCAAATTCAAACTCAAAATAAGATATCTTAACTATATTACAACTACAATTATTAAGGCTTAATCCCATAGAAAACCAACATCTGTTGCACATGCCTAGCAGCCTTCTACATGAGTGTATGTGTATCAAAATACTATTTGTTGATAATTTCCTGGCATAGTTACCCTGGGAACCAGASACTGGATTTACTCATTCTTATAGTTTATTTACGKYRCAAAGYGCCGTCCTTGAGGCYRAAGGCCAAACCWTAAACCAGCCTCTGGTGSCACRGATAGCGAATCAGGGATGGCGCTTCACGCMGTAAATAAACTATAASAACRAGTAAATCCAGCCTCTGKTTTCCAGGGTATTGCATAGTCAATYGAAMATTTRAATTTTGAATACAATCACACATTACTCTGTCCCTCTGACTGTCGTTTGGTTTTGGAATAAGACACAATCAAACTCACAACAAAGACCAAGTAATCAAGCAGAATTAAGGATTAGAAAATAGAGCCTCAGTCAATAAAAAAATATAAAAAATTAATTTTCTTGAAATGCAGGTGATGCAATAAATTAAAGTGTGAATGCTTGCTGTATGGGCATGGATCGAGGTTTATTTTTCCTGAAGCCTGAGTACCAGGCTCTCTAGAAGGGGACTGTGAAGAAGTGAGAAGCCCTGTTGTTACTCATATCAAAATAAACAATCTGTACGGCTGATCTTGCTTGACTACACAAGAGGTACTTTTCTGATATTTTGGCAATTTTCGAAGACAAAGTTTTTTTTTGCCCACAAGAATTAACAGTAAAAGCGATGAACTGATTTGAAATATCTTCTACTCACAAGTTTCTTGTGGTGCAGGCATTCTATGTAGTCATCCCTATGAACTCGACATGCATTCCATTGATCTCTACGTCCGACTCTTTGAGCACATGCCATTAATTCTTCCCAAAAAGGGGAACACCTTGACCTTCCTCCCTGTACACCATACATGATGATCTTGCACTAAGAAAACAATAATTTTTAGCTTTCAGTAATGTGCCTTTTATTATACATTGAACTTAAAAAAGAATTATATATAAAATATCAGTGCATTGTCTATGACTTCGTAAGGATTCAAATTAAGTTATATTTGTTGATTTCAAAAATGCACGTCGAGTTTCAGAGCAAAAAATCTCCGTGATGCAGAGTAAAATCAACAATATTGTACATAATAAATAATACGAAACCATATGAGAAAAGCACGACATTATTCTTTATGCGATTAAATCATAGTAAAGGTAAAACAGTTCAATTTTAATAGAGATACTTACCAAAACAGAACAGCCTATAACCAACAAACAAAATGGCTGCCACTATAGTTTTGATGGGGTAAAGCTGCTGTATTGTTGTAACTGGAGGCGCAGAAAAGTTATATCCTTTCCCCTCCCCCGAGAAGTGAGATTAGTCGGTACAAAGTTCACTTGATTTATGAAGGAGCATCATGCATGCAGAGATCACGCATGTAACAAAAATGTTGAACTCAAAAATCCAACAATGGATTGATTTTGCATTATTGAAAATAGCAAATTTGATGCCTTTTGTATTCAGTAAGAAGTTAGGCGATAAAGTGCATTATATTAAAATGATTCGAGAAGAAAAAAAACAGTATTTTAATTTCGTCGAAAAAGTCAGCCATTTGGTACTTCACTATAGATATATTAGATTTCTAATGTTTCTCGCCAAGGTGCAAAGATTGGACGGTTTCAAATTTACCGCCAAAGCGTGTCCTTTGTCTGCCTTATTAGGAAAGATGAATACATGCGCAGCTGAAGCTTGTCAACAAGTAACTGAAGAATGTTTTATGTGAATTTCCCGCGAAATAAATCATCCAATAGGAACACGGCAAGTTTCACTTCCTGTGATCCTGATTGGTCAGTTTCAAAGAACCGCGCGAATTTCAATATAGTTTAGCGTCGCATTCACATCGAATCATACCTTCCACCTTCTTCGTCTGACTGCAGTAGRATTGTTTAGAGCTTATAGTTTTTGAAATTAGCYTTATTTTACTCTTTTATAAGTCAAGATGCTAGGTACAGATAACTATATAATTTCAAACAACGATTTAAACAATATCGACAATGATTTCAAGAAGATTTCGCTCGACAAGGTCAAAGACATCATTCCAACTGAACCCGACGCTGAAGACGAAAATGTGGTATTAACGGTGAGTTATGCTCAATATTTCATGTTGGAAAAGCTCAGATTGAGTGTCTTMTCATAAGAAAATAGAATGTGTTCGCCAAAAGACGGTAGAATTCGAATTTTTGTTCGAAGAAATTGATTTGGCGCGCGAAAGCCGGTCAAACGAACTTCAGAAACGCTCGTCAAACTCACTAAAAAAATAAGTAACTTGAAAGACTAGTATTCTCATTATCTATATGGTATGTTATATTTGTGGATTTTAATTTTTCAATGGRATAATATGAWTTTTTTAGCTTGAATTTGCGCCTTTTCAAGATTTAGCATTTTGGCGGGATCAAACTAGCATCATGCAACGAACTCGTCAAAGCATACCTCGATGTTCTGTATCTATTTGACCAATTCATAGTCAATTCAGTGTTATATTATATGTAAAGGGTAAATATCATTTAGGTGACCTGACTTTTTCCATTTTCTGAATTTTTTTGAGGGTTGTGTTATGCAATGACTCTGACCGTTGCATCTCTTTGTTTCTTGTTGCTTCGTTGGTTGCATAACAGAATGCCTGCACTGACTAACTTTTGAATACATTTACCTCAGGTATCAAACAGAACACCACCTAAACCCAAGAAGAAAGTTCCCTTTAACACCGAAGATGAACCATTACTTCGAGAAAACCCACACCGTTTTGTCATCCTCCCCATCAAATACCCTAGAATCTGGCAGATGTACAAGAAAGCAGAGGCTTCTTTCTGGACAGCCGAGGAAGTTGACCTGGCAAAGGACAAAATYGACTGGCTTAAGCTTAATGTAAGGCAATTTATTTGGCTAAATCTCTCCTTAYCTTGAAAATTGGTTTAATTTCTTTATTATTTTTTGGTTTTAGGATGATGAACGCCACTTTATCTCRCATGTCTTAGCCTTCTTCGCTGCAAGTGATGGTATTGTCAATGAAAACCTTGTTGAGTGCTTTAGTCAAGAAGTTCAAATCCCTGAAGCAAGGTGTTTCTATGGTTTCCAGATTGCTATCGAGGTAAACCAGTGTTTCAAAGGATCATTGTAGCAACTACTTTAACATAAACATGAACCTAAATATATGAATTGTTTTTCTTTCTTTAGAATATCCAYTCAGAGATGTACAGTCTTTTGATAGAAGCCCTCGTTGAAGACAGTGAAAAGAARCAAAACTTGTTCAATGCTATCCAAACACTTCCCGCAGTAATGAAGAAAGCTCATTGGGCTCTTGAATGGATCAACCCTGAAAGGGCAAGCTTTGCTGAAAGAGTGGTTGCCTTTGCTGCTGTTGAAGGAATTTTCTTTTCYGGGTCTTTTGCTGCAATCTTCTGGCTGAAGAAAAGGTAAAATCCTATAACAACTATATATTTCTCCATTTTRGGTACATGTATATTATCTGAATGATTAGAGAATTTTTTTAACAAGATTTGAACTACTTTTTTTACAGAGGACTGATGCCTGGCTTAACATTCTCAAATGAGCTGATTAGTCGTGATGAGGTAAGTAATGTCAACTGAGGGAAAGCAAATTTTTAAGATGTCAAAGAATTGAATTTGCAATGCAAAATGATTGTGCTTTTGTGCCATAGGTAATATTGTCACACTCGAACACCTGTACAACAAAATAAAATTTAAATTGTTTACAGTATTTCAGAAAACATTGAATACTGATGCTCTTTCTATTTAAATTTTGTTTCAGGGACTCCATTGTGACTTTGCATGTTTGATGTATGAACACCTAGTACACAAGCCATCAGAGGAAACAGTKAAACAGATTATCAAAGATGCTGTTGTTATTGAACAAGAGTTCCTAACTGATGCTTTACCTTGTAAATTGATTGGAATGAACAGTGATTTGATGAAACAATACATTGAGTTTGTTGCTGATAGATTGTTAGTGGCTTTGCAATGTACAAAGGTTGGTTTACTGTTTTCAAATTATAGAGTAAATAGAGAATTAATCTTAAAAAAGAACTTGACAATAAATTGAGCTATTAGTCCAATAGTCCCATGAAGGAGTTGATCCTATTTGGTCATAKACACAAACCTTKTTATATTGTTATTAATAATCTTCACACCAGATAAAGYCTTGATATCAATAATTATAGTTCTCATGTTTATTTTTAATTGTGTTTTATTTCAGGTTTACAATGTCGCAAATCCTTTTGATTTCATGGAGAACATCTCTCTTGAAGGAAAGACCAACTTCTTTGAAAAACGAGTAGGCGAATATCAGAAGAGTGGAGTWATGGGCAACAAAGAGAACCAGAGAGTATTTACAATGGATTGTGACTTTTAAATTGAACATTTGTATATACATCATACTTTTTAGCTTTGATCTTTATAATAGCTGATGTTCAAATTGACCATCCGTTCATACATAAATTATTATATACATACAATGTAGATTTTGTATGGAAAATGTAAATACACAAGATTTTTATATTCTTTTTTACAGTCGAGCAATATTTTTCCCTTTTTTACACTGTTTGATAAAATATTAAAAAAGAAATTCCAAAAAAATATTTGTTCTTAGTTGATTTTGCATTACAAATGTTTAATTGTCTACAAACACATGATATGCAAAGAACTTGTGCAGTACTCCATAGAAGTACAATCCTTAGGGGGTAGTCCATTAGAATTTTGAGTTCTCAACATTTGCCTTGAATGAGTTTTGGGGGGGGGGGGGTCTTGCACTCAAAATTCTAATGGATTTCCTTTTAATCACAAAGTTGTTGTAGGGTTTAGGTGTAGTAGAAAGGTATGCATTTGCTCAAGGTTAAAAACTTGATAAAATAGTGGTACTATTGTCGTGTATCGTGTAACCAAGTACGTCGGGTTTCTGAACACAATATTTTGAGGATTTTGGTTCTCCTCACTTAGGTAAAAAAAATTGATCTGGAAGATAAGATTCAAACCTGCAAACCCTAAATATGACCTATCTGATCATTAACCCTAAGCCTAACCTTTGAAAGTAAAAATACTTTTAGTATCCAAATATCACCATAAAACCAATGTCAGATGTAACTTGAAAACTCTAATAATAGCATAAGTGCTTAGAAAAGTGAGATGATCAAAGATTATAAACACAGTACAAGTTATAGAGTGAAATTGACTGAAAATGGCCACCTTTGGTCCTTCAGGACCCAAAGCATAATTGTGCACACTGGGCCTTTAAAAAGTCCAAAACTTTTGCACTTGAATTGGCGATATGCATTATGGCATCATTTACTACAACTACCAGAATGCTTTGCCAACTTTCTTTTGTAATGCAATTAGTGCCAATTGTTTTATTAATCTCCAAGGGGATTTAAAATCTGAATAACAATGAAAATGCGCAAGGCTCTCTGGTAGTTGTAGTAAAGTTACGTCATAATGCAAACAGCCTATTGGATTGAATATTGACAAAATATTCTTTAATACCCCAATTACCATGAGCCAATTTCCCCCAATTTACATGTAGTTCCCTTATGTTCTGAATGTGTGTATTGAAGCTTGATAATCCATGCATGCATTGCGTTTCGTGAAGGATCAAATTACTGCAAATTCATTCATTGGGCCCACATAATAACATAAGTTTCATTTTACATTTACTCACGAAGAGGACTGAGTGATAAATCATAAAGATGATGATTTCTGTTTTGATAACAGAAAAAGGAAAAAGTGTAACATGTATATTTCCAATCAATCTTGTCACATTTTTCTTAGTTTGTTTCTTTTCCATTTCATGTTCATTTGTCGAGGATCACAGACGATCAATGGGCAACTCGGTGGAGGGACTGGGACTGACAAAGTCAGAAAGACATCTCAAGAGTCGCCATGTTGGAATACGTCTTGTGTAATCWGTATTAAAATTCGAGGTTCTTTKTTCAATGCAAAGCTTTCTGGTCGTTGTCTAAACTCATCATGAGTTCACCAATGAAGCCATGGGAAGGGGCYGGTACTAGTTCTAGAGTTGCTACGCCGCCGTGTTGTTCAACAACAAAGMCACCTTACGGAAACAGACCGAACACTTTGCGTGGCGTAACTGCAAGCGAAGCTGGTCAAACYTCTCTTGTAAAACCACCTCCTGTACCAAGTAGACCTCAAGGATCTTCCTATGGAACTCTAGGTGGATATGGTGGAGGGATGATGGGTAGTTATGGTAAGAGAGCGAAAAACACTWGTATTGCGTGCCGTAAAAGATTACGAAACCAGTCCGGCCTTCTGTGTTATGACGCTATCGTTAGAKTTGGGTCATAGTTAGTACGGAATATATCATTATAGAATTACCTTTATTACTACCATTTCCCCGAACTGTTTTGTACAATGAATTGCATTTTTTCTGTAGTTTTGATTTTTGAGGAATACTTTGTACTAGCTAGCCTATAGAAGCTTTAACTTATAACTTACATTTAATTAAAATACGTCCGTTTTCAGCCTTTGAGCACAGGTTAGAGGTTTAAAAACAATTTCTGTAGGAAGAAAAATCAGAAAACCTACCAGTACCAACTCACAAAATATAGGAATAGAGGGTTATAGATGTAAAGACCYACTGACAGTCTTCAGTCAGTCATTGCTCATGCTCCTAAATATGCATATGCACTTAAAGTCTTTTTAAACAGTCTGTCGCCTGCAAATTGCCTGTATCATCAACAGATGACCGATTCACATGCTCACATGAAGTTATGGATACTTGTTTTTATCATATGACCCATATTTCAGCCCTACACACGCTCTTAAAGATACATTTGGTAAATGGTCACATGATGGGGGCCGTACACCTTTTTGCAAGAGGGCCGTAAAAACCTGTATCTTCCCGGCTTGAAGTTTTCATCAAAGAAATGGCTTAAAAAACAATGTCATATGATAAAATGCTTATTGACTGAGTTAGKTTGGGCTGTACTGGAAAATATTTGGCTCTCGGTCATTTGTACAGACCTCGCTGCACTCCTTCCATACAGGATAACCTTGAGCCAAATATTTTCCCGCACGGCCGACCTAACTCAGTCAATAAGTACATAGTATACAACCACAACTTTATTGTCAATTACAAGTTTTAAGCTTAAATTGCAGAACACGATGATTGAAATTATGAAAAAGAATAATTTTTTCATAAGGAGGATGCAGTCATGTTTCCTTTGATCATAATGGCCAAAATTTGTAAAACATAAGAATTCCTTTGTTGCCACAATAATGAGCTAGCCAATCATAGTGAACTGTTTTAATTCTATTGTGTTGTTAGGAGGTTATGGAAGTAGTATGTATGGTGGCTATGGTGGTGGAATGTATGGTGGTTRTGGAGGAAGCCTTTATGGAGGTAAGAAATACATAGTTTCTTTGATATGTTTGTGCAAAAACTATAATGACTATGCTGTGCTTTAGCTGTGTTTCTATGGTGTCAGTACTAGGTGAGTTGTTGTGGCATGTTTGTAATCGCTGCTGTTTCACAGCCATACTAAACAAGTATGAGATTGAGTACAAGTTCTTTAATTGACCTTTATGTGTGCTATTGATCATGCATTGAATTCCTCTAAATAGAGTAACTCCAAAAAATTCAAAAACCCCCAAAAAATAAAAAGACAAAATGGACTGAAATCTAGTATGAACACCTCACTGAAAGTCATTTTTGAACTAAAACTAATACTTGTTGTCAAATCAGTTCCCTATTATGCACTAATGATATGACTATTGTCACAGATAACTATAAAGATTAAATTACTATTCTTTCTTTACAAAGATAACCAATTTAGAATTACTATTGTGAGTGTACTTTTAGTACTGCACAATTTTAATTGCTTATCAATATTGTACTTACAGGATATGGTGGTTACGGAGGAGGATATGGCACGTATAGCAGATTTGGTGGTAGCTATGGTAACCAGACAATGAGCCCATTTGTTAGACGAGCTGAAGAAAGCAGTCAAGCAGCATTCCAGTCAGTGGAATCCATTGTCCAGGCTTTTGGATCCATATCCATGATGCTTGAGTCGACCCATTTTGCAATGTTAAATACCTTCAGAGCAGTTCTTGGGGCAGCGGATCATTTTAGTCGAATGAAATCTCATATTTTGAATGCTATAGGAGCAATTGCAATCATAAAAACCTTGAAGACACTATGCCAAAAAGTCTTGTACATGTTAGGGTTAATRAAGGATTCTGGGATAGATGAGGTATGGACTGAAGCTAATGCTACAGTTTCAACAGCTGCTAGTAGTGGAGCTGTTGGGAAGAAGAATACAAAGTCTTGGCCCATTGTAATGTTCTTTGCTGTTGTTTTGGGAGTTCCCTGGGTGATATGGAAAATGCTYAAGTCATTTATTTCTGAAGAAGATGATACCCAAAGCTGGATGAAAGGTTGGTATTTTCATTTTCTTTGAGYTACTATATTGCAGTTGATTGTGAGGCTCTCTTGAGATGAATAGCTGACAAAACTTGGGTCAGTTACCAACATGCAGTCATCACAATAGTATTGTCCATCATTTTGGGGGGATTGGGTTTTAGTGGTCTCATAGACCTTTTCTGAAATACAAAATCATGGTGCATTGTGKTCTAGCTTCDGTWMAAACAACVYYATATTTGSYAGCATGAACAAAAGATGTTTGTACCGAATCTAGACCACAATGCAATGCAAACTGCTATCTCAAAAAAGGTCTATGGGGGTGGGTTAAATAGAGGACAAAAGCATGTGCATAGGGAGGAGTTTTTCCCCTAAGCTTCCTAAAAATGGCATTAGAAATACTTGTATTCTTAGAAATATCCAATTATCCTGAAATATATATCTGATAATCAAAAGAAAGGCTACATAGCTTTACCATAAGAATGTTTATTCCCTGGGGAAGGGAAACTCTTTTACAAAATGGTGAAAATCCTAATTGGGAACTAATTGGTTTTAATTCCCACACTTTTCTTTTCTTTCATTCTATAATTCTCTGATGTTTCTTTAGATTTAGTCAAATCCATTTTTGTAATGCCAATGTTTGTGATATAATTTCACTGGTCTGTATTCAGGCACAAGTGATCATGTTCTTGCCAGAGTAGAGTTTGACTTTGTTGGTGAAGCAGAAGATGAGTTAACAGTGTCAGCTGGAAGCATCATTAAAGTTGCACCTAAGGACAAACAGCCTAGGATGAGAGGCTGGCTTCTTGCTACTGTGGATGGTGAACAAGAAGGAATTGTTCCTGCTAACTATGTAAAGGTACTCCTCAATCTAATCCTCAGGCACAAATCACTAACAAATAAAATGAGGGATTGAAGATACATTTCTTACTAGTACATGTAGTACTTTCCACCTAATCCATATYTTCGCTATATTTGGTATTATGTGTGTAGTTTTGTTGCTTCTATTAATCTTAACTTTTTCTTTCAATYTTCAGATTCTTGGTCTCAGACGTGGTAATAATATTAAAGCAGAAAGTACTACTACTCCATCTGATAGTATGACTAGTGTACAACCTTGTTACAGTCAAACCAACCAAACTACTTCACATTTACAYGATAATGAAGATTCATTAAACTCRTTAGACTTTAAAGATACGGACTTAATTGAGGAAGTCCCAACATAATRTGAATATGGCACTACATCGTTATGAATCAAAGTGCACAGGCAGCCTAGCRGCATTTTAAACAGTTSTACAAACTTTATTGGGATGCCTCTACTTCGTATTAATGTGAAACTACATTGTTATGAATCAAAGTCCACAGACAGCCGAGCAGCATTCAAGCAAAAGCTGCAGGCTTTATTGAGAATATCTACTTAGAATATTGTCACTTTGATTTCTGCTGGATATTGTAAATCAAAGTGTACAGTTTTGCTGTAGTCTAATCGCCTTTTTAACCCCCTTAAAATACAGAACTAGACTTAAAAACATTCACGATTTATTGTAGATGTCCCTACATAGAGTTCATGTGAAAAAAGTGAAGTGATTTCTCAGCCAGATAGCAAACGGAATTCAGAAAAAAATAGGCATCATGTGAAGCCACGGGACCAATGTATTGATTGTATATATGAACTGCTGTAATAAATCTAAGTTATCTGGAATTTTTTGTTCTGCAACAGATAGCTATTGTCGGAATACACATTTTTTTGTTTACATGAAACCACCCCAAACTATATGGTCGTTTACGTACAAACCTAAATAAGGATATGCAGTTTCCTTATCTGGATATGTGAATGTCACTGGACCACCCATAGGCTGCCCAACTATATTCCTTGATAGAAGAAAAGAACGAGCGCGCAATGGTATTATCGGTGCGCACACTTTATTTGTGGATTACCTGTAGCATACGTCACCATCCCGTGCCTTGTGGGATACAAACTGGTCTGCGAAAATGTGTGAAATACTGGTCACGTGATGGATCGAGCCGAGTTACGAGCCGTGCACTGATGGTGTTCAACATTTGCACTGTAATGGCGGATACAAATTGAAGTCTTCAAATGTCTAAACTTGTCATCGACATAATTCATTTAAATTAGGTGTCAATTTAAGAGAATATGTAAAATTTCTAACTTAAATTTTAGTCAAAAGTGTTCTTGCGTGAACATATTAAACTTATATTATTTCGGGCGAAGAAGAGGAACTYTTATAATATTTCGATAGCAAAGCATATTTATGCCATGAAAATTCATATTTTATTCTATGACGTCATGGGCTCGCAATAGTTCATTTTGTTTGTGTCTTGTGGGCTGTTGTCATCATTCCTTAGCTGCTCAATATGTAGTTTTAGTATTTAGTATCTCTAAGATAGTTCAACTGACAAATAGAGAAAAACAAGGAAATGGTCTTTCCTAATAATTTACGAAAAACCATTTCCTTGTTTTTGTCTATTTGTCTAATGGTTTGTTAACTATTTATTTTTTGTCATCTCTTGGTCAGTGTTTATGACGGGGCCGTCGATGACTGCGATAACGGACCAACATCCGAACGTCGTTAGGCTTTTCTCTCTTTTTACGATTTTAATCATGTTTTTTGTGTGTGTTGTGTTGCAGGTCATTTGATTAGAGCGTTATTTTTACCCGGATATTTGTCTCTGGTTTGGAATAAAGCGTACAATTTTAAGTTATATATAATATATATATAGCGCATCTGACGAGGAGTTGACATAAGTAAATTTCAATGACTCTTTCCCAAACGAAGTTTTATGATTCTTTACCAAGTGTTTGCACACGATTTGAACGATGTAAAGCATTTAAATGTAAAATAGAGATTTATTGATAATTTGGTTTTGAAAAACATGTACTTTTTAAATATAATCTGAATGGCGATATCATTTGATTCATTAAATACACCTTTGATAATAGGTAATTTCTGGTAAAAATAGTAGTTTAAGTTCCAAATGGTAAATATCGGCAGCAGAGCTACGATCAATTAAAATGTACAAAATCAGAAAACGATGCTGTTCAGGCATAGTTAATATGGTTCAGGCCTTAATAATGATTGTCATTCATCGGGGGTGGAAGGGGAATATTGAATATTGAATATCGTACTTGAAAGTCTTTGGAATATTGAATATTTACCTGAAAAATGTACGGAATACGGAATATTTGTAATAACACACACAAAAGCCAGAATAGGGAATACTCACTCATCCAGCTAGTTAAAAAAAAATTAGCAAAGTTAAAACAGAATACCAGACTCCTCAATATCGATCCTCCGAGTCAATTAGCTTCAATTCGGGCTTCCTGTGGTTCGGATTCCTGATCATGCGCAGGCGTTGCTCTACCGCTGACCTTGCTCATTCGAGAGTCCATCTTTCGAAAGCACGTTTTTCTAAAGTCAAGGGTCATTCGATAGTATTTATGGGGAAGCACAAGAAAGAAGGAAAACGGGAGAGATCCAGGGAGAGAGAGAGCGGGGAAGGGAAAAGAAGAAGCATCGTCACAGTTCTGAGCGTAAAAAACGTAGTATCTGTAGTATCGAATTGAAACAACGTGAGAGGTAAGCTTGCCTGTTCCTTTTCAGTGATTTGATCGTTTTAATATCCTTAAGTTATTTYTAAGTTATTAAATAAGCTTACAACATGGCCTTGTAAATATGGGGTCATCGTTGATTGTATGCGACACTGGAAACAGTTCTGTCAGAGTTATTTCCAACGGACAGCCTTTCAAGGAACTTTCAGCTGTTATATATCCGTACGCTCAGCTTTTCAACCTTGATCACGATCGTGGAATTCCTAGGAAGACTTTTACAGAGTCATTCCAAATAGTCGACAAGCTTGTACAGTTTCTGTTAACTTGGGTAATGCAAACACAAGAAAGAACTGGTCGCGTTTCAACTCAGGGACCTGATCAGATAATCCCGTATTGCACAAGGAAATCATTCCTGATGATGCATGAGACCCTTGTTAAACTCGAAAACTTGTTGAATGAAGTTGGTGCTTCTGAACTGGTCTCTCAAGTTCGCCTGACGGCAATGGTTACCCTTATGGTGGAAAACTTAATTTTCTCTCTGATGAGAAAAGACGACCTTATGCCTGCCCAACTGGAATATGGGACAAGACGAGCTACCTGTGTGAGAGAACTCCAGAAGCGCATGTACAATGGTGACTTCCATTATTACACGGGTCCAAAGAGCTATTACACTGACAAGGTTATCAACTGCAGACGTCCACCTGTGAACGATGAATGTTAAATGAGATGGATCGCCAAATGGAGCAGTTGACGATAGAAGACAAACAGGAACTGCGCGAGTTTTCTTCGACATTTGGCGCGAGTGTAAGGCAACATACTGTGCGAGATAAGAGCAAGGAAGAAACAGGTTGTTTACCGTATGCAGTATCTTTAGATCTACAGCGAAGAGAGCCTGGATCCACGGTGTCTTTCCTTGCTGAGTCAGCGTCGAGCGAGGCAACGGACCAGCCACTGTCGAACGCACTGCAGCAATATGAAGTTCTATTTGCGACTCGTGATGTTGTGGCCGCGAAGCATGCAAGACGGAGGGGACAGTTCGKTTTTTTTCTTGCCTTGGTTATGAAAGATCTTCTAGTGAAAAGTAAGTCAGCAAGAGAGTTGGAATTTGCTAAAGAAACGRTGGATTTTCTTTGGCTGGATAACAGCAATTCAGACAATAGTCTTGTCTTYCAAGAAGCGTATAGAGACAACAACAACTCCCCATACTCCGTTATCGATAAGGTTGACATCGATACCAGCACCGACGACTCTGGTGTTACTGTACGAGCTTCCACAGAGTGAAGTGGACCGCATCGAACGGAATTTGTAGGGAGGATCAGATAGTGACATTGACAGTGACAATGATTCCACATCTGAAGAAGAAGATGATAGACCTCCGCGCGAATGTTACAGTACCAGGACTGGTAGAGCAGCAACGAGACTGAGGCTTAGCTAGTTTCATTAGGTAAGCCCGTTTCAATAAGTGGATGATAGTTATATTTTTGACCGAAAACTATTATCGACTATCATTAACTCTTGCCATGATAATGATGTTACTATTCCCCATGTCAGTGGATCGACAGTGGATATCCAGATCCGCGCGCTCTGATTGATTCCTGAACCAGTAGATATCCGATATCCAACGCTATTTACTGTTTCGCGCGCATCGCACGCAAGTTTCGGTGTCAATCTCAGACGTTTTTTCGGCAATATGTTATCCAACTGATCTGGGGAATACTTAATATACTTAAACAATTATGCCCCTCAAGGTCGATGAAACACGTCTTGGTATATATCCACCACTATTAATTGATAAATAGTTTTCGATTTGAGCGCGCGTGCTGTCGTAAATCACGACATTTTGAACCCTGAGCGCGCTCTATTGTTTTCTTCAAAAGTTAGATTTAATGATATTTGCCTTCCAAACTCATTAAAACGTGCATACCGGTAATAGTTTATGAAAGTTGAAAATATAATCAACATTCATCGTTTGAAAGGGGCTTTAGACTCTACTTTAGACTTRATCCACTCGAATCCACTTAAAGGCTGTCTATTCAATGTCCATGATGTCCATGATGTCTTTCCGATACAGGTGCGTTAACACTTGAACATTATTATGCTTTTACTATGTTTTGTTGATTAGACATTCCTGTTCTCTCGACTTATTCGGTATCAAACATATTGATTTGTATGCAGTGAATCAGATGCAGTAAGTGTATCGAAAGTGTAACATGGTCGAGGTGGGTCATTAAATGTCGATAATCACTTGTTTTCATTCTCATGTTTGCTTAGACCAATAAAGGTGACAAAACAAAAAAAACATAATTGAATAATCATTGGGTTAAGAACTTTTAAGTTCTTAAAACTTCTACCTATAACTTAAAAACTCAAATAATACGGAATATTCTTCGAAATTGTATCAAGGAATGGGAATATTCATCCCAGAAGAGCTACGGAATACGGAATATCTTAAGTTGAAATATTCCCCTTCCACCCCCGATCATTCAAACCTTGTAATTTAAAACACCTGTACTTTCTGATCCCTAAATGTTGCTGCATTGAGTTATTGATTCTATGAAATGTGCTCTTTCAACGCTGTAGCAATTATGATAAATTATTAATAAATTACGTACTTTTGCTCTTATTGCTCACTTTTTTTCTTTTTGTTCTTGTAAAACTGTGAATTTTTGATATTTTCATACTAGTTTCCTTCTTTTTTATCACCCTCGCCTCGAATAGTCCTGACTAACTGCGAGGGCTGCTTCAATTGTAATTGTATTCAGAGTGATTAATAAACTGTTGTAAACTGTTGTATCTCATAAACTAAGGCGTTACCATAGCCACGCCCTTCTTCATATGGTCTACAGCAAATCCACCGTTCGGTTTCATAAAATTAGTCATTGACTCTTATTCTTTTGTTAATTCTTGACATATTCTAATATAAGCATAAATTTAACTTCTGTTCAGTCCTTGTATTCCGTGCACTGTTAGTCGTGCATGGCTTGTGCTATACATAGGCAATTCACAATATTCCATACACTGGTTCAGTGACCATGAACAAACCATTGGACCGAGGCGTCAATGTACAGTGAGCATAAAAGAAAAGATCTGCGCTCAGTGTACCTTGACGCCTCGGTTCAATGCTTTGTTCATGGTCACCGAACCTGAGTATGGAAAGTCGTGAAATTGTGCAGCGACGCCATTATGTTTAACAAAGCATTATGGGAGTTCTCGTGACTCTTTATAGCCCATAATAATAGTCTGTATAAAAGGCGTTTTTGTGATTTCTTTATAGTAAGACACAACTATATTCTATTTTTGCAGAGAAAAAGCAAAAACGCCTAGAGGACTTTACGCCTTAGCGGACATGAAAGTGTTTGGAGCTCCCATCATGCTTTACTGCACAAAATGGCGTCGCTGCTCATTGCCTATCGAGATAAATGTCTCCTTTGAATCCCGAAGTGGTACTATTGCTTGTGCTATTTGTCAAGAAATACTCTAATAATCTTTTAAATAAGCTTCGACTTTAACGTCTCCTTTATAATACTGCACTTGTTTCATCGCGGAAAATAAGAACACTATACTTCCAGGGGGGACAACAACGTTTATCGGTCCGTCACGTGATATTTTCATATTGTATACGTCACTTATTGTTACTTCGACGCTACGTGATTGGTCAGCACATGTATTGGCTATTTCATATGCGCGTGCATCCATCTTGCCATGGATTCGTCTTATCAACAATAAACATTCGCTTTCATCGTCGTCGAGTACTTTACCCATCGCTTTGCTATGGAAATGCTTTGATTGCTTATTGACAAGTAATTTCAGTCCTTTTCTTTTCATATGGTTTTTACCTTTCGAGCAAACGCATAACTTTTTATTGACGCCCTTATCTGCGCATGTGCTGTAGACTCCGTACGGCGTCAGTCTTTCGTAATGGCTTAGTTTCATATTAATTGAATCTTTGTCTGAGTGCTTTGACTCGATCTCCACATGGAAAATATCTTCTTTTTTTGTTGATGAGTCACCAGCAGGCACTACTAGATCCATACTTGTCACCAACTCACCAGTGTTCTTGTTCCGAACTCGAACATTTTCAAACCTCGACGGCTGCAATCGTTGACACGATCTGAACAGCGGTAATCCTCTTCCTTGTTTCATTAGCATATTGTTCAGTTCACCAGTAGCAAACTCTGCATAAGCGAGCTTAAGAGTGTCGTTTGTAGTTGGGCTGTCCCATCCTTCACATACACACATGTTAGGAGTACGTAATTCAACATCGCTGCACGTTCTGTTGGACGGTAAACGCCTAAATAAACCCCTAGCCTCCACCCCCTTGGGAGAAATCGGTACAGCCAGGGCCATGAGTGAGTGATGAAGGTCAATTATAGTCAGTAGTCTTCGTTGATTTTCATAAAGAGCCTCAAGTGCTTTGGTTCCCAATAACTTGCCCACTTCATGAGGAACAATCATAAAAAGACTGGGATGAAACATTTCAAATTTGCCTTCCTGTGACGTCACTGTGTAGGACGTGTATGTGTTGCCGTGGTCTGCAAGTACAACGGTCAGCGTACAGCTCTCTTTAGACATGCGCTCTACAAAGCGCGATAGATCCTGATCCATTGATTGTATGCGTCGACCATGCATGTCATGTGCTACACTAAGCATTGTGTAAGACAACAGTGGTAAAGCATTTGCGTTTTGGGATATTGCTTGTAGGTTTGCCTCGATATAGTCCAGGAAATAAGTGTGCTGGTATTTACCATTGTAGCAAATCTTGTCTTTAGGTTTTTCGAATGGTGAAATGAGATTGTACGTCTTTAGAATCTCACAACTTGAATGAGTGATTCCTGCAACATAAACGTTTTTCATTGAATATTTCAACTACCAGCAATTACCACTGAATTTCCCCTCATTTAAAGACCTAAAAGGGAATCTGACTTAGTGTTTTAGGCTACTAGTGATACTAATCAGACGTTCACTGGTCAGGAATGTGGACTCGCCCCCCTAAATGTTGTTTTTTCTAATATATTCCAATGAATTAAGATCGTACTTAAGCAATATCCCCCTCTTCTGCAGTGGCACCCATGGCCAGAAAATCCGGACATTTGAGCCCGCAATCGCAGCGGTACTTCGCATAAATGCATAAAAACATGAATGTAAATTTTACAAAGAAATGTATGGATCAAAAAAAAAATTTGAGAATAACATTTCATCTGTTTTAATTGGAAAAATTCCATAGATGGATTCGTAAAGGGAAACTATTCTTGATTCCACTGTAGGAAATCCAAATAAATCCAATATTGTTAACAGCGTCCTTTTTGACCATATATTTTCCTTTCGTCGTCTCCCTTTGGCCTTGTATCTCATGGTGAAAATTCGCGAAGAAGCGAAATTTCACCGTGGCTGATCGTGTTCCTTTACATTTCACTGATATTCCATAGATCATTTCTCAAAGTCCACATATTGAAGTAGGAACACAGCGATTTTCAGCTATTTTGAAGACGATCAACAGCGTCCATTTTGGTACTAGAAATCGTACAAAAACTAACTTGACGGTGAAATGGCTGGCGAAGACGCGTGTTTCACGCGAATAATTGGCCTCGATCTTCCATTTTCTTTTCATTTTATACGCCATGTTTGGTACCAAAATAAACCTTAGAAACGTGGCTTTCAGACTAGGACTACTTTAATTTTGGCGGTTTTTACTGGCGCCTTGCGCGCAGTGGTAAATAGCGGGAAATACGAACGAAAGATCAAGTCTACGCTATTTAGTGTAAACAATGTCAGACCTTTTAAATTCCTTACAAATGTACAAGTATAAACAAAAGATCACAATATCAACTGATGATCATTGTTTAAAATACCTGAGGGAAACGTGTGTTCCAGCAAACAATATTATTTACACTATGAACATTCCAAACGACCACCTTACAAGGCACTAATGAACTCAAGGATCAGAGCGTGCTATCCCAATACTCGTTTGTCGATGTTTTGAACGTTTCGATTTTAGCCCAGTATTGTATTAAGATAAAGGATCGTTGCACAAGAGTAGAAAATTTGATCTTCAAAAGTTCAAACCCCAAGGGAACTTGTAGAAAGCTCTATTTTGGTGGGAAAACCCGCTGACTCGTTCGGGGCTCAAATGTCCGGAATTTCTGGCCATGCACATATTAAGAAGTGTTTTCGATAGCAGAAAAAGAACTTTACTAACCTGTATGATCAATGAAAACGTCTTTTAGTTTTGATACGAGTGCACTCCAGCTAAACGGTATTGCAAGATCTATAGTTAATCCCCACTGTCCCTCCCAACACAAGTCTTCTTGCCACATTGTCTGATAGCCAGCTCTTTTGAAAGTACCAAAGAATTTCTCCATCCCGACAGGGCGAATTGCATCACGGTCTTCCGTTGGCGGGAATAGTGAGCCAGTAAACAGTGCGTGCGTGTTTTCAGCGGTGTGACCTTCAACAGCTTGAAACAATTCAAAGTCAAAAACCATTGGTGACGTAGGTGTTTTTGCCAACCGTTTGAATGTTTGGATGGTCTTAGGCAGGGAGCGATAGAAATGGTCTCTTGCCACGGAATCTATGAGTACAATATTGACGTTAAGGCGGTTTTTGTGTCTTGGAGTAGCTTTGTTCTCTTGAAGTGTATAACGCGGATCTATTGGAAGAAGCTGGAATTTAGGGAGATTATCTTTTCCTTTACATTGCAAAAACACATAATTATTCTTTTCAGCATGATTTGATTTTAATATCGATGGTAAACGGAGTTCAAGCTGCTTGAAGGTTGAATAAGAACGAATCATGTCGTGCATACCGGTGTCCGGGTTCAACATTTTTACAGAAAAATGACGCCGTCCTTCCAGGCAAAGAGATCTGTTACAACGAGCTCGTAGCATCCTGGAAACATTTTTTATGTGGACGCTTAAAGTACAGATATCTCCTTGAAAGGTAGGGTCACATGGTTTTGGATCGTAGTAGTACAGTCGATGAGCTTCTTTACATCCTTCAATCGTTGGCTGATGTGGTTTACATCGACCGTATGAAATCATGTCCACGTGACCTAGTGTATTATTAGGACACCTATCAGTGACGTCATCACTCGTGGGAATCTTAGCCTCGATCTCATCCATTGAATTTGATTGGTCATTTCTATGAGCTTGCCAATCTGATTGCATGGTGGGTGATTTATCGCCTAAAGGATGCACGTCCAATTTATCACTGACGTCATCACTCGTGGGAATCTTAGCCTCGATCTCATCCATTGAATTTGATTGGTCATTTCTATGAGCTTGCCAATCTGATTGGACGGTGTGTGGTTGCTTTGTCGAGTGGCCATCTTTATCGCCTAAAGCATTGACGTCTAATTTAATGTCAGGATTTTCATACTGAATGCTTCCTGCCTGTAGCTTGTCTTTTCTTCTTTTGATGAGTTGAATTATTACTCTATTCTCACGGCTTTCGATAATCTTCACAACTGTGAATCCTTTTCGAATAAAACTTTTGAATTGCTCGATGTATTCACTTGTGTTGGGATCTTCATCTTTCCCAGTTAAAGGCTTCCAAGGTAGATTTTCATAATACATTAAATTCGACCAGTTTAGGAATAGCATAGCCAGAAGAAATACTGTTATTAAAGACTTTGTGGGTGACAGTCTCCAAATGTAGCGAGTTATTCCCCTCATCTTCAGCTAACGTCTGTTATGTCTAAACGGAGATAAAGAAAGGAAATCATTCTCAAAACATTTGCCTATTGAAGGGAAGTAAAGACGTCAAATGAGACGTGTTTAGTCACATGTCCCGTATTGATTACAACTAAGTTAGTCTCATGTCACACCGCGGTTTACGTGCAAAACTAATATAACTCTTTTTCTTTTGTTAGTGACAGAAAAATTACGATAATCTTTCGTTTWCCATTATATATATATAACACCTGTTCTCATATCTCTTGCAGTTAGATTAATTGCTTCTCAGTTATGATCAAAAAGTGTGAATTAATAGATCACACTTTTGTAGTTRATAAAAAATAAAATAAAATAACTGTATTTCACACATTACGCATACTTTGCCACCAAAAATCGATAAACACCACTGCAGGCTCACTAGTGACTGGCCCAGAACAATACAAAGGGGGTGGTGGCTAGCTTACAAAAACATTGAAAAAAAACATTGACTTGCCGCTTGATTTAGTTTTTAATGAATAATTTATGATCATTTCTATTTCTTTTACGTGTATATTTACAAGTTAAGTCCATATCAACAATTATCTTTATAATGAAATAAGTCATAAAGCTCAGGGAAGTGACGAGGAGACTCACAATCCAAGCCGGCTAAAAGTCCGATCTTTAATCACAAAATAACTATAATTTTGATCCTCAATTCTTAAGATGTGTTCCTTTTCACTAAGAATTAACAAATTTTGTATTCCTCTATGACGACGTTTTTGTAATTAGATGTATGTAATTGAACAAAAGGTTATGCTCAAAAAAGAAAAATTACAAAAACAAGCTAAATATAAGACCAGTGGGAATTGAGGTACTACCAAAATTTCAATCATTTTTGCCTAAACAATGTTCTCTCGAGAACGCCATGTTTATTCAGTTCAGACACTGCTCGGGAACTTCAAAGACGCTATGTCATACGTACATGATAATAGCTTAATCACATCCCTTCCGATATTCCATTTCATGTCGGATCTTGACAATTTGACAAAAAAATTGAAATTAATTAAAAACATATCAAGAAAAAGAAAATTGTGTGCAATACTAAAAAACAAAGCTAAAAGCAAAGGTTTTGGTAATTAGTAGCGTACATTATTGATATTTCTCGAAGCTTCAGGATCTGAAAGCCTATCAACACGATATTCGTTCAATTTTTCTCCTTCCCATGATTCTTTTCGGTCCTAGATTCGCTGATATTTGACAAACGTTTGTAAATTCTATTTTTTCTGTCAAGACATAAACACTATACAGCAGATATTGTCTAGTGAGTTATTGTTGTACTAAAAATTATAATTTTGTAAGCCACTCTTCATAGGTCATAACCGCAAAAAAGCCATATATATTCAAAATGCTGTAATATTCGCAGTGTTTAAGGGGGGAGGGGGTGCCCTTTGCACCATTGGACAGCCGCATGTATTCACCCCTACCCCTTGGATAGCTATTTCAAAAAAAAGGTTGCAGGATAAAGAGGTATTGATGACAATTGAACGGCGAATGTATGTTCCATAGAATCTAGAAGATCTAGAGAAACTAGAGACCTGAGAGGCCTTTGTGCATTTTTGATTATTATATTTCATTATTCCAGATAACTAGCTGCACGATTAAATGCTAAAAGAATCCTCATATAATCAAAATATTTACAACGTTCTTGATTTGATAATTGCGGTAAAATCATAACTTACACAGACAACCTGATGGACAGTCAGCAATGATGATCGGATTCTTTTTGACTGCAAAGGAATCAGACGAATTATTAAACGAAGTTGTGTAGTCAAGCTAAAAGGGTTAAAAAGAGATTCCTCTTTTTCTCTCAAAAACAACCAACTGGTGCATTACAATTCAATCCTTTGATCACAGTTGTTTCATCAAAAATCCACGCAGATCACACATGCACAATTTAGTTTATAAGCCATGGTTACCATGAGACAGTTATCGCGTCTTGAAATATGGTGGTTTTACTTCGTCTTACGATTATTCTCGTATGATTCGTTCATTTAGGTTCCTTCCATTTACACAAAACCGGCCGGTCAGACAGATCTATTTTGAAGAACATCATGTCTTTCGTGGACGGATTTTTCAGTAATTTTTCAGTCAGTTTTCCATTACATACTATTGGATAATTCGAAATTGATTCTTCTGCCGAATGATTAACAAAGGAATTCCTTTTGGATCTGGTCAGTCAGTTCCGGCAAATAGAAACAGATCTCAGACCCACTTTGATTGATGTGGTATAGTGAAATGAGTTTTTGCATTGCTGATGTGTCCGCATGGATGACTGAACACAATTGGACAGTTATTTAGTACTTATTACTCGCATACAGAGGTTTTGTTTCGTGATAATAAGTTTAATAACATGCAAGACAGTAGTTGGTCTTACAGTCCTCAAAGAAAGGAAGACAAAAAGATAAAAAGCCGCAAAGACGCATCAATAATTTGCCAAAGTATAGAGGTTTTTCGCTGACGTCACGTATCCCGTAGCAACCCCGATGGCCGCCATCTTGAAGGTCACATTGTCAATACAAACACATGTAGTTTTAACGATGTTCGCGAAAAAATCTTACTTCTCCTCACTTGATCCACCTTCAAAAGAGAGATGTCTACAAAAATAGCATCTATTAATAACATAGATACTTATGAAGTACAAAACAAGGACTGGAGCCCAAATATTAGCGATTTTCCGGCGAGTCACGTTCTTGGATCTCGTGACATATCTCGTTCTAAAGTCAAATGCTTATACTCTTGACCAATTCCGCACATTGTAATTGTATGGCTAGCCTTGGAGAAACATGCACCCACGTAGGGGCTTTACTGTTTGCAATTGAATGAGTATATTCGACACCGGGAAACAAAAGCAGTCCCACTTTTTCTAAAAGCCTACTGAGCCCTCCTGGATTGTGATTATGTAAACTATGAACCTGTTTCTGAGATTGACTTCACATCTGCTGTTTCTCAAAGGAAAAACTTGTATATTCTAAGAAACACTGGGAAGAACGAAAAACCGTTTAGCTGCAATGTGTTTTTTCCTAAAATGACATTTGACTAGTTGATAAAGACATATTCGATCGATCGATCATACGAAAAGATCACGGTCGTTCAGTGTAAGATTTTGGCTTTTGGTATAGTAACAAATTTATCCATAAACTTTGCTTTGCTTAAATTATCACATTAACAACCTATTAACTCAAAATAAATGACAATCGATCAAGTAATCTGAATGGAAATGGTCCGAAGAGACTCGAATGTGCTTACTCGCCGTCCATTCTTTCCGACATAGGTTTGCTAACCATTTATCGCGTCTCTTTGACGAAATATCCATCGCTTTTTCACCTTGATGAGTGATTACACTCGGGAAACAATAATTAAACTTTTTATTGCGATTTGAGCGATTTGAACAACCGACAACGGAGCAAAAATCGACCATGTTTTCACTAACAACGGACTGTTACAGCTTGTTGGTTGACCTTCAAGATGGCCGCCAATGCGTTGTCAAGGAAACGTGACGTCACACGAAAAACCTCTATAATGCATGCCTTACAATGCTGGACATTTTTATCAATATCTTAATAACATTAAAAATAACTTTTTTAGCTTTCCCAAAATAATAATTTTTATATATATGTTATGTTTCCACGCATATCTGACCTTTTCGAATAAAACGTTTTAAAACCTGCTGTTTGCGTGGTCTCCGTTCTCTGTTATAAGCACGGTTGGAGATGCAAAACACAAGAAACAAAAGCACAGACAGGGAAGTCGGAGCCTTTTTTTAGCGTTTTTTTTAGCGGGGGGGCTACTAACATCTAAGCATTTTATCATTAAGACAAAAACAAAAACAAAACAAAAAAACATTCAATAGGAGTATACTTAACGTTGATTTCTTAATTTTTATTTTCGGAAGCCCCCTTAGCCCCCCTAGCCCGTCCCTGACGAGAGTGTTTCTCTTGCTTATCGACTGCTGTCCTTCTACAACCTTGCTTACTGACCTATATATACATCAGAGAAAATACAGAAATAGCCATTTTATATTTCCTTCATAAAATCAAATCAGTTTTCTGTCTTGTTCAGCCAATGAGAGGGCGCGTTATGTCTCAAAAAGTTTATAAAAATTATTCCTCAAACTCTTATGAGTATACGCGAAAATATTTATTTCATAAAAAAAGAATTAAATTTTTGAATACACACTCCATCATTATAACCAATATAAACAAATAAACTCTAAAACCGTGAAACGTTAGTAAAATACGATTAAATAGAGTCAACGCACTTGTACCGTGAAATATGATCAAAATAAGCAAACTATCAGTGTCTATTTACTGACTAATAGTAGATATCACTGAAAATAAACAATTCATGAAAGAAAAAGGCAATGCACAAAAGACTTGACAATTGCATAATTTTATTTCATATGTACACACATAGGGCATTTCTTTTTATGCCCTTTAAATAAACTCGATTTGCCACGAAGCCTAACATTTAACACAATTTCTAGCCCGTCCCGACATCTTTTCTCTGCGTTTACTGACAAAAACCAATAGTTCCACATCTTCACTGCATACTCATTACCTCATCCGGAATGATTAAGTTATGGGGAGCGAAATCCGCGGATGCTGAGGTAATAGGTATGCTTAGAAGAGGTGAATGGTACACCGCCACCAGGGGAGGAGGGTGGGGCAAAAACTGATGTCTTCCTCCGTTCAACTGATTGAGTGTTTCTTGATCCGCCGGTTACGTGAATTTATACTCTAGGTGTGCAGGGGATGCCGGGTAATGCTTATACACGAGATCCCGTTGAAATTTAGGGTATTACATAATCAATTGCGGTGAGCTAATTAATTATGCAGTGAAAATAGTTACTACTTCTTTGATTATGTTTCATGGCACAAGTGCGTCTAGTAATTAGTATTTCGTGATTAAAATCATCAGAGTGAAGTTGAAACAAATTTGGACTGTTAAACTTGCGGAGTAAAAAAATAAAATGAGGTTAAAAAACCCTTAAAATAGATATTACTTTAGTACGCTATGATTGCATTGTTTTCTTTTGTGTCTAATATTGGACTATCTGACACTTTAATAGTCAAGTTTTTTTTACAGGTTTAATGCCTATACTCAAATGCAAACGGTTCTAAAACGCGTTGTAAAGTATATGTATTATATTATTATGTATTTTGGTACTTCGCTCAATAAGGCCTACGTGTCCACAACATCGTCACAATCAGGCCCTATCCCTCGATATATTCGCTAATTGTTAGTGCGAGTAAGGTCGAGTAATCTTCCACTTAAAACGAGGAATTAAAAGCATTAAAAAATAGTAAGCAGACCTGCCATGTCTATTATAAAAATATCTGAAATAATGTTACCTGTACATGAATTTATATGGTTGATTCCAGATCACCTATCCCAGACCCGCATCTATCCTTGGACTTCTTTCCAGCATCAAGATATCCTCTAGGGATAGAAAACAAGAAATTGAGACTTTAAAACGCCTTCAAAATGTCAAAATTTGGTCAAAATTTGCCACGATCCACAATTTCCACGATTTGTCGTCGTACTAACTTCAGAGGTTTTTAATTTGCATAAGTAGAAGTGTAATAGGATCCAAAAAAAGAATATTTAGTCGAAGTGTCATTTACCTTAGATAATCTTAACCTTGCTTTTAAAAAAAGCTATTAACTAGAGAGTGTAGATCGTCGATAAAACAGCAATCAGGTTAAGCTTCGTTATTGCCCCCTACAACACGTTTTATTTTAGCGCTGCGGGCTTCTGCTTTCCTTTCACTTTGGGCTTTCACTTGTTTAATCGATTCAGTAGTTTAGTTAGTGTATGAACAGCCACACAGCTGTGGAAGTAAGCTACTGGTCCTGTCTACTGATTAAACTCCTAAAAGAAACCTAAAATTTTGCCTGCTTGTCAGACGTACGTCTGGTAATTAAACAGTCCAGCTATTACCTCAAATACTTCAAATTTTAGCTGGCATTTATGTAAATAATGGAAAATAATCATCAAATTACTTATTGCGCTAACTCATGTTCCACAACAAAAACAAAAGTGGCGCGAATTTCCATGGTAACCGAAATATCGCTGAAATATTCCACTTGGAATTGTCGCTTACGGTTACTTTAGTACAGCTCCCACAAAGAGAAAATAAAATAGAAATAAATATGGAAAGATTTTGACTTTCACCTAGTCTACATAGTAGCTTTAATTATTGTTCAACCGAGTGAATACATGTTTTCATGGGATATATTAGCCTTAAAGTGCACATGACACCATTAGAAATTCATTCTCATCCAAAARAGAAAATGCTGCTAAGTTCATCTGTGAAGAAAGAAATTGATTTTAAATTGTATTTTCTAAGTTGCGATTGAAACTTAGAAAATGCAAATCAATGAACCAGACCAATGAAGTGACGTCTACTAAGGAATGATTTTTAAATCAAAAATATATTTGTATATTAAAATATACAAAATCATGAAAGAGAACGTTATTCTTTTTGTTACATTGGAAAAAGCATTTTCAGCTCTCAATTATTACTACAATGTCGATTGATGATTTGAGCTCTTCAACCAAGAACAGCATAGCGCAAACAATGTAAAAAGTCTGGATAAATTCCTTAGTTGACGTCACTTCATTTGCATTTTCAATTTTCAAATGTCTATAACATAGAATTACAATTCAAATACAATTCAAAATCTATTTCTTTCTTCACAGAAGCAGAGCAAACACAGGAAAACCATGAAATAAAATCAAACTAAATACTAACTAATAGCGGCTATTTAGAGACAGTTTGTCAGTATATAACCTATATGGTCAGTATCAATGAACCAGAACACAATGAAGATGAATCCACATGGGACCATTTTTCTTTCATCTTTAATGCGTTCTGGTTCATTGATACTGACAATTTGTCTCTAAATAGCCGCTATTTGTTAGTATTTAGTTTGATTTTAGACTATTTCGTGGTTTTCTTGCGTTTGCTCTACTTGGCAGCGTGTTACCTATCGGATAAAAGTGTTTTTCTAAAAGGTGTCATGTGCACTTTAATATTCATGAATAATCATTAAGCATTGTCGCTTGAAAATCCTGTCTGAATTCGCTTCTCTTTCCATTCGTGTCAGTTAATGAATCATTCTTAGGACAGGGTCAAACGCTGAACTCAAATATTTTATTTTTGAATTCAAAGCTAACAACCACTGATTTATTTGATAACAGATTCAATTGCGCATGTGAAAATGTCGCTATTACAATAGACTTGAAAATTTCCCTTTTTTCCGAAGCACTCTGGGGATACATATTAGAGATGTCCAGTGAGTAATTAGATTGTCCCCGTTACTATCAGTGCAAGAGTGGCGACATGATTGGGACACAAGAATTTAGATCGAAATAGAAACGTCAGTTATATCATAGTTAAATCTATGGTTATATATATGACAGATAACTATTATGGAAAGACATTTTAAATAAAGGTTTGGGCTCGTAAAGTTTTTTAGTTCCCGAGATATATTCCCGAGTATCCTTGTATCCATTTTTATTATTGTAGAAAATGATTCAAATTGGCCTTCTTCTCAGACCTTTTAAGTATCATCCGCCATGTTGGAGGACATGAGTCGTCTATACATACATTCTTTACCAAATATTATGCATATTCAATCGCAAATTATTCAGTAACGAGACGCTGTTTGAACTCTAGACTTCGCAGATAAACGTAGTTTTGAATGCTCTAAAAGAATATGGATGTTACATTTCAGTACTAATAAAGCTTTTGAAATTCGAGACGAGGTCATTCTGCCTGATTTATCACGTGATTGAAAACAGAGATAGATTAGTACTGTGATGGTGCTTTTTATTCGCTTTCTCGTCTCGAAGTATAATTTCTATCGCTTTGATGGATTATCAGCGAATGATGCAATCAGTTTCCCTGCTATTAGTGCAGTAATATGGTCTTTAAAAGGAGATGAAATACATTAAGATCTGTGTGACCTATCCCAGGCAAAAACCATACCATATCTCCCCGGACAGTGGAAGTGAGGAATGCGGATTCAAGAAATCCGATTCAGCTTTGAGAGCGAAGACAACTTTGGTGGTTATGGCACTATCAATACCGATGTGATTGCAGGAAAAAAAAACGCGCCATAAAGGTTGTAAATTTGGAATTAAATTTAAAATTAATTTGGAATTTAAAATCGCGCCATAAAGGTTGTAAATTTGATTGAAATATCTTGTAAGAGTCCAAAATAATGGAAATTTGATGGAAATCATTTACATCAAATTTACATCATTTAATTTGGACACTTACAACATATATACATCAAATTTACAACCTTTAAAGCGCGCGATTTTTTCCAGTGTTACAACGCCGTTGCGACACAAGGAACTGAGAAAAAAGGACCTTTATGATTGTAAACCTCATGGTACAACACGTAGTCTAGTCACTATTGAGCATGCGCAATGTACTTCAATAGATAAAATTTTGAATCGATTATTTATCCCACATGGAAACCAAGACATCTCAGTTGGATGACGCAATTCGGCCATCTGTTTCACAAACCTTGTTAAGAGTGGAGATCGAGTGGAGATCGAGTGGACTACGAGCTAATAGCCCATGATGCCGAGTCCGCGAGGCCGAATGCCTGCTATAAGCTCGTAGTCCACGAGGCCGAGAGGTCTAATTGTTTTAGTATAAACATACTACTCGGTCAAATAATGAAAAAAAAATTGAAATATCCTTAAAATAATTTATTAATGAGATTGATTTTCCCGCGAGTGGTCTATCATAAATTAGACCATTAGTAGAGTAGCCAATCACAGCGCAGTATGAGTGATAGACCATTAATATGTTTATACTAACTAGTGTTATTTCAGATTTACAAGGTCAGTGACCCGACCAAATAAAAAGACTTCATGCATCGGGTTAACTAGTTAATGAATTGTTAATGACTTTTATACAAAGTTGTTAATTGTTAGCTGGTAGAGTAAACTAACAAAGGGTGTCAACTCAGATATAGAATTGAGACGTGGTGCCATCAGATATAGAATTGAGACAGGGTGCCATCTCATACTCTGCACGAGACTTCTGTTCCAATAAGAAATACTGTAAGATGTTTTGCCAGCAATTGTTACGCCAACAAAGGAGTTTTTATTATATTTCGAAAAAACAAAATCTTGAGAAAACTTTTTAAAATGATAGGAATTTACTTTTCCCTTTTTCTTTGTTTCCATGATTTTACAGTATGTAGCTTGCTGTGATTCTGTTAAAACAAATGTATTCATTTTTTAATCAATGAAATAAGTCAATATTGCTCCTTAATAATTTACAATTCTAGAAAATATAGGTTAAACCTATATTTTCTTGTGTCGCAATCAGAGCGAAAAGTCTTCGAAGACTGTCAATAAGTGGTTTTTGCTCCACTCATCAAGGTTTGATCTTCTCGATTACTCAGTTTTCAAAACGAAATTTTAAAAGATGCCTTGGCAAATCTCCATAGAATACGTCTTTTTAATTTTGGTTTCCTTTCTACTGATCAGTGTGAAATTACAAAGTGCAACATCAAGGCTTTTCTCGTTTGAAGTTCGCCATGGCTACATGCTGAATGCCACTTCTTTTCAAAGTGCACGCGTTGATGATATGATCGAATGTGCCTGGAAGTGTCTTGAAGTGTCGTTTTGTTTCTTCTTCAACTATCAAACATCAGGGTCGGGTTTGTGTCAGGTTTTCAAAGGCTTCGATCAGATTGGAGGAAATCAGTTGGATGAATTAGTGCGACCGACACTTTCAGATGGATTTGTGTACTGACAAGTATCACAGGTAGGTGGAGAAACATTTACTGATTATAATACGGTCGTTGAGCTGAACAAAATCTACCAATGTTACTGAATAAAGCTCATAAAGTTAATTCCAGCAATCACTTTTTGACGTCTTAACCTGGCCAGGGATCTCAACTTAAGATGATGAAAGTGCAGTATATGTGTATGATATAAAGAGAAAAAAGGAAAGAAAAGATGAAGAGGGGAGAAAGATGAGAATGAGAAAAATAATGCCTGGAGTACTGTGATGAAGCGGTGGTTGGAGGAACCTTCTTGTCATCTTTTGTAATTGAGAACTAGAGATTTTCTCTAAAATCCTGAGCATGCCTGTTATGATTCACCCCCAGATACAGTGTCGAGAAAATAAGTTACTTTTACAACAATAACAACATAAATGAGTTGTAAGGAATTGGGCGAAACACCTGCCATATGTACTAAGCTTAATGTTGGTGGTTTTCAATACCTTCTTTCTTTCATCAGTTACTGAATTATCTCGTAATTTTCTCATTTGTCTTTCATTCACGTTTTTTCTACATAGTTATTTGTTTCTTTGCAATTCATTCTTTTAAATCCTTAGTTACTATCCTCTCGTGTTTCTTTTGGACTTTTCACATGAGAGGTTATACTTCTTCTCCTATCAGGGTCAAACCAGTAAAGGAAATGTAGAAGGGTAACCTCTCAAACGCAAACCACCGCCGGCCTCTCAATCTTATATTTCCTTTGATAAACGTTGATTTTGTTAAAAATTTAACCAAAGCTTTCGGAAGTAGAAATACTCTTCACTCACTCATTCACTCACTTCCAGTAAACTGTTAACACTTTATTATACGTCTCGTTTAGGGCCCAATTAATTCATGTCTAGACTACCTAAGGTTGAGCCCAGATATACAAAATGGGATTTATGAAATACAAGACAAAACAACCTTCCAAAGATACGATGTCTTCTGCGACTTTACATCTGAACCTGGTTCAGCATGGACACTAGTATTTTCAAAGAAACGCGACGAAATAGAAAGGAAGGAGCGAACATATCAAGAAAACAATCCTTTGAACGAACTGAAGCCGAACTTCAATGCCTTTCGACTATCGCGCGCCAAAATGGTATCACTAAGACAGGTATCGACCCATTGGCGTATCACGTGTGAATTTCAAGACGCCTTCAACCAAACAGATTATGTGAGAGCAAAGTTTTCCGACACGGATATGATCGACTATAAAGGACAAGGGATTTGTAAGAAGATCGAATACATTAAGATTCGAGGTCAAGGATGTACTGACTGTACGGCGCCATGGTGGCAAGGACCAAACCTGTACGTTTTGCACACGGATAGTGATCAAAAGCATTCATCATGCAGTTTAAGGATATCTGGTTCAGTACCGGACGAAGATAACTTTGGAAATTATTACACTATGAATACAGCTCACCGTTGTTCAAGATCCTCATCAGCCACAACCAACTCCTGGATGGGCGGGTACGCATAGATGTCCGCCGATATTTGCGCATACTCTAGAAAACGCATTGAAAAGCACTAAAACTTGGATAGAGTGACAATTATCCACGTAATTAACTTCCATGCTATTTTCATCATTCTCCCTGTATACAATGTTGCACGAACAGGGAAAGAGATGAGTTAGGGGATTGGGGTCAAACAGTGATGAGCTCTTGTACTGCACCAATTTAATAGTTTTTAACTATTTTGTCTAAGATAGATATGCACTACTGAGAACAAAGATACTTTTGATTTTTGTCTGGAACATTCTAACAACAACCTTTGCTTTTTTGCAAATAATCTTTGTTGGAAATTTGCGTTAAGGTTGTTTTCGTACGAGACAAAAGCACGCAGTTCTTGGATAGACGTAGGGATATAAGAAGCGAATATGTACACCCTTTTCATAAGTTCTGAGGTATTGTGTTCTCCGTACTTGACGTCAAATTCATTTTTTTGAATTCTCTTTGTATTGTAAAAATTTCAAAAGAATAAATTTGACGTCAAGTGCGCAGAACACAATACCTCGGGACTTATTAAAAGTATGTATATGTGTACGTATTTATCGAAGTGTAAAAAATGGCAATATTCCTGTTGTCCCAAAGTGAAACTTATTAAAGTGTATAGTTCACGGGTATAATTCACTATCAAAACAGCTCCCTGTTGTTCATAAGTCAATTCAACAACAACACTTACTCCTGGGAGGGTGGGTACCTATTCATTGTCGGCCATGTTTTGTCAAACATGAACTCTAAAGGAAATTAAAAGCCCACCAAACTGAAACTAAAGATATTACTTGATAGGTAAGTTTACAGCATTGTAAAGAAAGGTCGGATCAATCGTATTCACTGAAGGGGTGTCACGCAGGGGGAACTTTGGCATTTATTCACAATGATCACGATGCTTTAGATCTTTATGGAATGAAAGGAATTTTGGATTAATTATAGTAATCATTTAACCTCGGATATAATAGTTAGGTGACAACCCCTCCGACACTCCCACCCCCCTGGATACGCGCTTTTGTCTGTGTTAGGACCACTCTCATGAGCTTGCCGAGACCCAAAAGAAAAGTGATTTTGAGCAACTTTCAACACGATCTTTCTTAAAAAAGAGCAAACGATTTCAAAGGTCCTCGGATTCACGTGGACATTTAAGTATTTTTCAAAAAAGATTATTTTATCGCAAAAAGCAAGAATCTTTATACCCCCCAAAAACACGATCTCGAATTTTTAAACGGCTTCAAAAACTCCAAAACTTAAGAGTCTTGGAGAAAATGTGTGTAAATTTAAGTTTGAAATAGAACGGACAATGGTTGTTCCATACATGTGTTATAACACTCCTTTTTCTGCTGAGAAACACAATTAGATTATGACAGTCCAGAGGAACCTCTAAATAATGAGTGCAAGATTCAACCGTGTTTGATACTAGTGTTGACTCGCAGTTCTGTTTTTGAATTGAAAAAACACCAAATGAACGCATACATCAAGTAATTCAGAATTTAAAAATCTGAACATAATGCTGATTTTAAGACTTATAGTACTTTTTTTAAAGTTTAAGTTTCATAATGTATGGGGGAAGATAACGGGGAGGGGGGGATACAGGCGTTTGTTACATGGAAGTACCAATAAAGATAAGATCCCACTATTTGTAATCAATGACTACAATTCTTGTCGAGTTTAAGTCCATAATCATTCAATGTTAGTGACAGTCCGAGTAACTCGGAATTCATTCTTCGAAGCATGACCCTAATTCCAAGAAAATGTCCTTTTAGAATTAAATAATTCTAAATCTCATCCATTACTTCTTCATCATCGGGATTGTCATCATCGCCATCAACTTCGGCATTCTCTTTTTCGAGTCTTTCCATTTGCTTAGCGAGTTCAAGCTCGTCTGTCTCGGTAACAATCTTGGGCTAGAAAAAAAAAATCCATAAAAATGCTTGAATACTGATTTACACCAATTTGAAAGGGCTTTGAATTTAGTTCAGATCTTGGATAAGATCAAGCATGATATGCACATTATTGGATTACAATGACGATGATATTAAACAAATATTGGATGATAAATATCATGATATCAAAATCATTGAATGGTGTTGAGTATAAAAATAAAGGCTGAACATGCTTTATGAACGGACTTAAGGTTTTGATAATTTGCTATATCAACCAAAAACAAACTCAAAATAAGGAAACAGTTATGTAATTATCATTTTACATAACTGTTTCTTTAGATACACCGACGCAGCTCACACTAGTTTACCGCTAGTTCCCACCATTCGAAATAAGGAAATGCAATTTCATCAGCAACTTTTTGATTTTTGAGTTCTTTGTCATGAGCTGTAATATTCATCTACCAACAATTATATCAGCATCATCAACATTTTCAACTACAGATTGTACATACTGCTGCTTTCTCTGTAAACTCTCCTCCAGAGTTTTTAATGGATGTTTTGATGGCTTCTACAGCTTGTACAAGTGTCTTGAGCCCTTCTTCATGGTCAAGTGTAGTGGTTGTTATAACATATAAAGGAGCTGCTATCAAATTCACCTGATTCAAATAGAAAGCACTTTATAAAGTAACAATAGGAGATTCCATGGATATCAACCTTTTGTGATTGATGGATATAGAAAGTGAAATGAGAAAAATAATGTTATACCACACTTGTGTAATTAGTTCTTGTGCGCTGATTGGCTGATTAGAATGTGTCAATAAGAGAACATGCACATTGTGCTGACACCATCATGTCTCACGAGCGCGTTCAGTTGAAAGACAAGAATGATTTTCAATAATTTTTAGACCAGAAATGTGGTAAAAAACAAAGGTTTGCATTATATGTCCTCTTATTGACACACTCTTGACGTCATAAAATGTTCACAACTTTGAAGCAAACCCACTTGCTGTGCTCGTTGGTCCACTTGAGTTTTGAATATTATGTAATATATAAAATATGAGCGGGAGACCTTTATGGGCATTTAAAACTGCGAGCTGCAAGCGAGCAGTTTTATAGCCCATAAAGGTTGGACACGAATATTTTATATTGCTTATCAAATTCCAACATAAGCTAAAGCATATTTCGAAAAAAACTTCAGCATAAAATATCATTTGTAAGAGAAAATCGAAGTTAAAGTCGTATGCAAATCAGGACAAATCTCTTGCTCATATAAAGATGCGGTTACGGCAATGGCAATGATTTTCCATTGTGTTTACCTTATGAATTATTAATGAATTTGATAAATGACGTCAAGAGTGTCTCAATAAGAGGACATACAACTCAAAGCCATGTGCAATTTATTAAACAGATGAGTTGGTGGAAGAGCCTAACACTTGAACACTGAAAGCATCATTTAGCTTTACAGCCATTATGGATAACACTTAGGGAGTCAAACGAAAAATCCTACTGGATTCATGCATTTTACAGATGTCAATCATAAATCATCCATGGTCAAAGCGTTTTCAAATTCTAGTACTTTGTGTGTTAGTGAAGCATTCGTTTCGAAAATACAGAGACTTTACACAAATACACTTGATGTCAGAGAACAGCTCCGGAAATTGTGCTATTAAACGTCTAAAAATCAGGATATCTGCGGCTAAATGCAAGAAATACCAACATGAATCGATTCAATTACTGCCCGAAAGGATATAAAATGATGAAATACGAATAATATTACCTGTCAAAGACCGATGTTTTGACTTTCTTCTAGGTGGATCACCATTGTGTAAAGTCTGTTTTTTCGAAACAAATGCTTCACTAACACACAAAGTACTACAAAATTTCTGAAATACTTAGCCCTCTCCGTTTGAAGAATTATCACTCTTCAACGCAAAGAATCATTGAAAACGCTTTGACCATTGTTGGCTAGTTTTGTCGATATTCGAGGAAACCAATTCATGTTGGGGGAGGAGCTATTCAATGGTAGTTATGGAAATGTCTATGATTGACATCTATAAAATGCATGAATCCAGTAGGATTTTTCGTTCGACTCCCTACGTGTTATCCGTAATGGCTGTAAAAATGTCCTTATCATTACACATAAAATTTTAATTTGATATTGCCCACTGACTGTCTCTTATTATTGTTTTCACTTGTGAGCAAATTACTGCAGTTTAACACCAGTTTGACAGAATTCAAAGCTTTGTTTGAAAGACGCAAAACACCAAATGAGTGTTCAAAGTAAACTTCATGCTCAGTAGTGATTCAATCAAGAGGTTTAACTGTATTTAGTATCCTCCAAACAATCCTACATGTATAACAAATCCAGCATTCTGATTGGCTACCGAACGATGGGCTATTTATGATCTCGCCCCATATATAAGTGATCTCGCCCCACACATATAACATTGTATTATTGCTATTTTTCTAGAGCAGAAACTAATCAAGAGTTCTGGAGTTCTTGAAATGTCAAAGTTCTTGTTTAAGATATGTTGGTAAACTTAAATAATTTTCATCGGCAAACCACTGCAATGATCCACTCGACTCGCGTTAACTATTTGTTGTTAACTAAGTACTTAATTCAGTGCCAAAAGACATGTATTTGTCTCACAGACTATTAGGCTTCAGATTTTCTGTCCTTTCAAGTAATTGTGAGTTATATGTTTGAGTATAATCAAACGATCTAAAAAACAGGCAAAAAACTTTTCACTTCGATCGCACGCCATTTTGTTTTGCTTAGTARCCGCGCATTTATGGTTTCCCTTTGCGTTTACCATGTCATAGTTAATTAGTTTTACTGGGAACTTTAAATTCTTTATTGACAAATAATAAATAATAGCATTGGTCATGGACTTTTCAGGTTTTTCAGGTTATAAGGTTTTATTGTAAAGTAAAGCAAAGTAACGAACACTGTGCAAGCCTGCGTGGGTGTAGAACACGTTTTGGTAACATTCCATCTCACACATTTCACACATTTCATTTTTTTGTAAAAATTTGTCCTATAGTTTGGTGGATCCTCAAACAATTAGACCACTCTGTATCGTAAACTGGGAGTTGATAGTCTATCTGTATCGTAAACTGGGAGTTGATAGTCTATTTGGCCGAGTATGGCTTTGTGGACTATCAACTCCACAAAAACCAAGTGGTCAAATTGTTAAGTGTTCATGAATGATTTACATTATACCTTGATAGTGATATCCTCAGTAGAACAATCCAGACCAGTTCTCAAGGCCTGTTTGACGGCATCAATACCCTCATATCCATAACAAGCTACTTCAATATCAGCACGTATTTTAACAGCTTGAGGAGTCAGTCTTCTCTTGATGTTTGCCAAAAGTGTTTCTTTTGTCTTTTCATCAATATCTAATTCATCAAGAATGGCTGGGTCTCTATTTATTGTATAGAAAAGCAAGAATACATCAGAAGGCAGTAACCATTAGTGCATTTAGATATATTGCTTATTACAGTAAAGATTTGTAAGACCATGTTGTACATGCAATCCTTAGTATATACTAAACTGTGACATGACAAAAAAAAAATTAAAAAAATTAAAGTTTCTAAAAATGTTTCTATTGGTGCATGCTCAACCATTGTCTTGCTCCATGCAAAGAGRTGGAGAAAGCAAGCTGTAAAGAAGACTTCTACTCTTACTATATAAACTCATCCTTTACCTATTTTCATCACTTTTACTCCGACGAAGAATTAACGTCCGAAACGTCAGTAAGTTACTTCTCCTACTTTTTTATGGTGTTTAATTTATCATTTTACACAACTGTAAAGGAGAATGTTGAGTATTAATAGTTCACTTACGTTACAGCTAGTTTAAATGCATCATATGAACTGCCTGGTGTTTTATACTTCTGATCAAAGAACCAGGCTGTCTTTTCATACAAGTYTTCCAGTTGTTCATCTGATTCATATCCCAGTATTTCAGCACAATGTCTTAAAATACTGTATACCTATTGATTACACAGAACAAATAATAATTACTAAGATATTTCAGTACCATAAATGTATAATATATTCAAATACATACAAATATTTTAGCAATTCTTACTGTTTTTGCTTTTGTGAATTTCTCTTCACACTTCTTCACTTCTTCAGGAGAAACACGTCTTTTCGACAAATCAATATAACCTGAAGATAAGGATACTTRTTGTAATACATCACTTAATAGAATCCCAGCCTCCCAACTCCCACGAGGGTCGGGGGAATAACACATTATAGCTTTAGAGTAACATGGTTGGGTAGGCAAGAAAATTAGTATAGGTAATAGCATGTTTTGTAGTGGTATTTGGGATAGATATGATATTTCAAAATTGTCAAACAAAATTGTGACAATTTTGAAACATCACAAGCGGTATTTATCCCAAATTCCATGTACAAAACATGCTATTATTTGTTTATAAAATGGTTGAATAAAATTGTGCAATTTGAAATACCACTATTAAGGATAAATATCACTCATCTAAGCTAATGAAATTGCACAATTTTATTCAACCATATTATTATTAGTGTCTAAATCAAATGAAATGGTCTGTTTAGCCATCTATTCTGGCCTAGTAAGGGYTGGGAAATGCCAGGACTTTAACATGGTTGAACTGCTTATTCCCCAAATATTACCTGGTTGTCTGGGAGACCATAGTTTCATTGACTGATCCATTAGACTACAATGTATTTTGAATGGGTCATACACRAGGGCAAAAAATTATGGCAGATGGGTGGGCTGGGATGTACAATGTAAATTCAAACAAAGATTTGGCTGGTTAACTGCACTTATTATGACTGGACATTGAATTTTGACCAGCTCTTAAAGTTGTCAGAGTTTTCAGCAAACAGGTTGACATCTAACAGACAGACAGACAGGTAGGACGTAGGACTGAGTGGTATTGACGTCAGCTGTACCATGTGTATTGGACGAGTAGACAATTTATATTCATGAAACCTTGTAAATACATGATTTTGTAATATCTACAATCAATTAACCATTAATTAATTACATACCTTTCTCTCTATCTACACGAAGAACGACGACACATTCATTTCGCCCTACACGAACCAACTTATTGATGGAACGAATTCGTCTTCTTGATAATTCGCTCAACAATATCATCCCTTCTCGATTATTGTACTCTAACAGATTGACGTAAGCACCCATTTCAGCGATACTTCGTATATTTACCATTACCACATCGTCCATTTCTGGATAAACATGCTTGTAAAACCGACAAGAAAGAGGCATTTTGTACGTATTTTTATGATCAATTTACCGGTACCATGTGAATGACTGATGCAATGACCAGGATGGAGGAGCCTGGGGACTAATAAACTCGAACAGGCCAGGATGCTTAGCACTAACCACAGGAACTCCAATTTCATGGAAAGGTTCGAAAGGTTTGTACTTCCCTACACAATATAGCAATAAAAAAAAGAGCCCCCCAAAATATCCTTACACATAACATGTATTCCCGGACATTTTCAGATACTCTAGCRTGCAATGTCTTATTTGATGTTCTTATAAAGCATGCAAAACACCGACACGATGCACCTCGGCAAAACAAGCATGACGTCATAAGAGGGAAAGAGCTTTGAAATGAAACAGAATGAAATAAATRGAATGATTGGAATGTAACGGAATCAACTCGATGACGCCGAATCTAGAAAGTTACAAAGGGGTGGCTAATAGTCTCCTCGGTAAGCATCTCTCTCATTCTGTCTGGAGCTGTAGTCTCATGAGAACGAATAAATAAGAGACGAAGAGGGGATGGGAAAACAAGAAAACAAAAATCGAACATTATAACAGAAAAAAAAATAAAGGAGAGACTCGATCATACTCTTTTCTCTCGTCCTCAGTCTCACCGCGTCTCGCCAAAGGAAGCTGCGGAGGAGGTTAGGTGACTAAGGAGTGCAGCAAATTAAACGCGTTTAGCTGGTTCCGTCACTAAATCTCTATACATAAGCATAAGCATGTGCTATACATAAGCATAAGCATAAACATGTGATCCTTAGCCTGCTAACAGGCGCCTCCTCCCCATTCCTTCTCGGCCCTATTAGCAGGCAATGTGTTCCTAAGAATGTTGTATGTTATGTTCGGGGCTAGAGGTTCAATGTATATGATTCAAGCAAGGGGGTCTACATTTCGAGCTACAAGCATTCGATCGCGCGTCTGAAATTGAATATCCAAATAAATATTTATGAAAAGGAACTTTAGGTCCTTTAGGAACTTCAACTCATGCAAAGAAATATTAATGATGCTTAAATGTTTTTATTAATTTTTATGACTCAGTAAATAGATATGTGCAGTTGAAAACACTAACTGAAACTTCAAATTATCCTACCAGGCAGAAGCGACTATTAAAAAACAATATTTTCACTGAGCGTTGAGTGAGACTAAAATCAATAAACACTATAAAAATCAATAAACACTGTATATAGATGATGATAAGAGTGATTCGTACCAACGTGAACATTTGACATCYCAGGACTTCAAATATCCTGGATTTTGCATGCCAAGCTGAACATTTTTTTATCGACCGTTTTTTAGATTATCTGGTGACTTTGAAAGAAATTTATATTTAGCATAGATAAAGCTGCTTTCCGGCATGCATTTTGTGGAGTTCAAGGATGTCGGATTCACTGATAAATKTAGTCTTCTTACTTAACTGTCCCCTGGATTTTATTGACTGATGACCGGAACTTAAATAAATAAACATTTGAGTCTAAATTCAGTATTTCTTCCTTGGCATTTACTTCAATTCGAAAGCGTGTTTTCAGGAGTGGCATATTATATCTCTAACAAAAGTCTCTGCAAAAAATGCGAAAAATAAGCCTACCAGGAATACCATATGCTTTTCCCTCKCGGAATCTCGGATTAGACTTCGGCTGGTCTTCAAATCTAACGTTTTGAGTGAAAACGTCAGTCTTTGTCAGAGTTGATTTGTTCTGTGTATATTTCGAGAAAAAAAGTATTGCAAATAAAAAAAGAAAAAAAAAATAGAAGAAAAAAAGCTAAGAAAGAAAAGAAAAACAGAAATAAACATCTTAAACGTCCAGTGCAGAACATGGTTCCCAGGCCCTCGTGTCTTTGAACAAGGCTGTTCGATAGACTACACCAATTCATCGATGCTTTGCCGTAGATTGTTGGTTGCACTTTGCAAGGAGTAGCTCTAAATGACTTAGGGACTATCTCCTCCCTGACCGGCATCGTATTAGCTTGTATGGGTTACTCGTGAACGATCTTTCTTTACTCTTTCTCTTTATTTTTTTTCGCGGCTCTTTTTGTTATTTTAATTTTTTCAAATAAATATTTCGATTTTGAAAAAAAATAAAAAAATAAAAAAAAAAAAATAGATGCAATTTCAAGCGTTAATCCAGCATTGTTTCCCTAAAGATGGTCGACTTTGAACATTGGCTGTTAATTTAGAAGTTCTGATGTGTAGAATGTCGAGGGTTCAAATTTTAAAGGGATATTATTATCCGATCATTATTATTATTATTATTACTATTAGACTTTTTTTAGATACTTTTTTTTCCGTTTATCCCGCCAAATCTGTTGTAACATTGCTATATAAAAAATCACTTTTTTGGATAAACATTGTGTTCAATGCTCATTTGTTTATGAAAATGTTTTCAAGSAAAAACATTTATCTTTGTGACAATGGCAAACCATCTTTAATGGTGTTTTCCGGAACCAATTTCTTTTTTAGATAGTAATCTGTTATTTGATCAGTAAATTCCTAAGRTAAATGTCAAAAAACGTCTGCATGTTTTCATTATTAAAGGATCGAAAAATGCTATTTTACAAAAGTAAATGAGCTCGAAATGAATACACATAATTACATACACGCTATCAAAGAATCCAAGAATACCTCGAAAAAAAGGGTAAGACTAGCATAATTTATATCAGCCAGGACTCTATCCTTCTAAACAAAGGAAATTCAATGAATGACTGCATAGAAATCGATTAATTTACTGCAGTAAAATCAAAGTAAAAATTATGATCACTATTGGTTTTKAACAAGATTTTCTCTTGTTTTGAATATGGGAATCATGCGGATTTTATATCAATAACCCCGCTGCATCCAAGAAGAAGCCACTTGTGCATGGCGAATGCGAAACCAACGGACGGTCAAGATAAAAGAGTTACCATCAAGTACAGTKGTAGTACTCCCTGTAGTCAAAAAATGAAAACTGTAATCTGTGATTAYATTCGTTCACTGTATGTAAAGATAATCTGAATTTATTGAACAGCAAAAGGACGTCATTTCAACAGCGGAGCTGCGCAGCACTTTTAACCGGATTATTGATATCAGTTTAGTATGCCATATTGTCTTCTAAATGCTCTTCTTGGCCCACAACTATCCCCTGCTGGAGAGTTAATTGATAAAGCAATGAGGGCGGCCATGCCACGAGTACAAACAAGAGAGACTTATTGTGAGTAGTCTATATATTGTTTGTTAAGACAGTTAAAAAAAGAAAAAAATAATTTCACAGAAACAAGTCACGTGGTTCGAAGTTATGTTTTTCAAGAAAGCCGCCATGCTGTGATAGCTTTCATATCGTAMGTGTAAAGTAAGCCAGACGGTCTTCAAGCCTTTCTTCCATCGGGAGTTCCTAGGGATCGGGGAGATTTAGTCACTGATATCTCTCATGGCCATAGTATTATTTATAATGTCGATATATGTAATTATTATTAACCTTGGCGGTAAGCATTGTCTGGAATTGTTTGGTGTCTGATATTTTGCACTTTATGCCAAGCAACTAGTGTTGATATAATCGTCGCAATCCCCCCAAAACTTGATTTTTCATTGGTTGAATCCCTCGAGGAACCTATAAAATGGGAAAACGCGTTTGGGACGTTCTGGATGAATGACCTTGAGCGATAGTTCATATATAATGAATTAGAAATGTGTGAAATTCAACGTATGAACCGAAACTGAAAACATTCACATTCTTTCATTTTTTCAAATATATTTGTTATACGCCACGTGAAGTAAGCGTCAATCACTACATGAAACATCATTTAAAAATTGATTTGTCTCAGTCTTTATCCTCGTTCCCTCATAAGCTCGCGATCAAATACATTTAGTACTGAACTTTTATACTCTTTGATTTTTGTTATTTTGTATTATATAATAGTCAAGTTTCACGGGTTTTTTGATCTCACTTTATTGGAGTGGTTTTCATTAAACCGTGAAATACACTTTGTGTTTAGCGTACTCTTTTATACTCACTATTTTGCACGATCTTGTTTGCATTTTCGATGAATCAAACTTTATTACATCTTGACAATCACACTTTGTTCTGCGGGTTAGCCATTAAACCCGTGAAACACAAATTGCCTATTTAAGTGTGATAGTCAAAWAGACAAACAAAAAGAAAATAATGGAATAAAAGCGTGCAAAATAATGAGAAATAAAGTATAGTACGTTAAAGTGCAACGGATTTATAAGAATAAATAATATAAAACCACTTGATACTTGTTCCACCTGTCTTTGAAAATCACTCTTGTATTTTTTAGATTAAAGATATAAMTTTTAATCATAACTTAACAAAACAAGGAAAAGATTGAATTGCGTCTGGAAGTCAAAGGGAAAAGACTAGAATAAAAGTTCATAATAAAAGTTCACTAATAATAATAAGTCTATTTAATCAAAGCGCAAAATCAAACACCAAGGAAGCGGAAAAAAATCTTAACATAAAAGGAAAGAAAAAAAAAACAGGCTGAACAATCATTTCATAAAGGACACAATGTAGTCTAGCGCTATACCAGCGCTCAGTGGGTGTCGGTACCAAATTCTAATGAAACAGTCGGTGATRTAAAGTCTGATAAATCGTACACAGCTTTAATTTTCGCTCTCTCTTTTTATGGCACGCAATTTATCTTTTTATCATTTTTTTTATCAAAGTCGCGTTTTGTAAGAAGAAAAATCGTTTGGTTAAAATATTAAAAAATATGTAGACCAGGACAACTTGTACATGTGGGAAGGGCGACTTTAGCACTATCAAGAATAAACTCTTAAACTAGCGGATGAAAGCCATCCTTCAACCGTCCCAAAGATGCTCAGTGTTTTATATAATAGGGTCCAATAACCGAGCCTAGCGGAACTCCTTCATCAACTTCTCGTTAAAATCGAGTTTGTGGGGCAGTTATGTTTTTCCGTGTGTATGTTTTGGAAATAACCAATAAAGTTTGCTCAAATATGTCGCAAAGTGACTTGAAAGAGTKCAACATTAAGCAATTGCCATTTTATACTGACTATAATGTTGTATTGAAACCGATTTATGTATAGACATTAAGTACAATATCAGTTTTATTGTTAAAAAGAAAGGCTAAGGCTAAGATGAAAGTTATTGGATTGGGACTGTTTTTATTTCAAGCGTTAATATAGTCAAATCCAAAGAGGGAGAAAGATAGAAAGAAATAACAGAATGAAGTAATCTGTAAAAATTAGTCAACGTCCAAATTGTCGGTATATATGTCAGATCCTGGTCATGTCCATTAATAAAATGATTTAAAGGTAATCCGGCTCAAATGTGCTCTGTTTCTAGCTCATGATAATAAATTTTTGGGACTTTGGGAAGGTCATTATTTTGGGAGGTAAACACAGCCGAAATGACTGATTAATTCGCCTCAAGCARCAAATAAGAGAGTGGAAGGGAACTCCTGAAAAATCAAAGGGAAATCAATTGAAAAATAAGATGAGAAAGAAACTAGAAAGATTTTGAGCGAGTAGATCATTTCAGGACTAAACTTGATTCCCCATAGTGAATGGACAGCAACTTGTGATATGTATAAGTACTGTAAGTGCCTTTTCGCCGAACATTTACAAAAACTGTAAATTTTGTCATAAAACGATGACAAGTGTCGCACTTGAGTATTCAATCTTGGGTTGACAGCCATTGAAACTCTGCAATAATCAATACCAAGTCATGAATCACAATAGATGTTAAAACTTAAGCATTATCTCAAGAGAAAAGAAGTCATCATTTTTATAAATTATACTTTTTGGTTGAAAAACATGAAAAATCTAGAATAAAATTTTTTTTTAGTCTATGGTGCGTGGGACTTTGTTTTCTATATTTTTTTGTTTAATAAAACAGGATTTTAAAAATGCAATGAAAATAATTTAGTTTTATCATTCTATAATTAATTTATCTTTCAATTCATCTGTTATCTTTTTATTCAAAGTGTTGTTTCAGTTTACTTTTTCTTTTAAATATGTATAAATCATTAATGCTTATAGAGTTCATCATTAGTAAGTACGTGTGTGATCAGTGGCAATTAAAGACCTGATCCTTCAGAAAAACTATAACTCGGATTTTTTTTCTTGAAGCGTTTTGATAAATGCGTTTTTAGATTGTCTAAGTTTTCTCAATAAACCCGTCGATTGATCGAGAGCGAGCGTGGAGCACCGGCAAGAGGAGCATCGCGATGCACTGATTTGAATGCAATGCAAGCACCCATCTAATGAGGCGTCAAGTTGGTGTGTTTAAACTTTTCCGTGCAAATATTTTTCATTTGATAAGAATGTTTTTCAAAGAGTAATATTTATGTATCTGTATGTATAATTCGTGCTTTATGGACACCACCCTTGACTATTAATCAACATCTTTTGACTAACGTATCACTAAAGGTTTTTTGACAATCTTTGGAGGGTTTGCTTCAAAGGGATCTTCGCCATGTTGGTTTTTCTTTCCTGTTCGATGGATGGCTCCTTCCCGCCACTAATGCCTTGAGCAGCTCTCTATCATTACAGTTACTTATCCACTACACACCCATGTATTAATGCATTTTATTGACGTGTACTTCAATAATGTGTGTCCTTCAAGCAGATCGATTAATGAGAGATAACACGAAGAAACCAAAAGTACCGAACTATGTTGGTTATAGGCTAGGATCATCACATCTTCTAGAGTGTGCGTAGGCGAGGCCTGTGTAGCCTTCACATAATTACGAACGTAAACTCTAACAATAAGCAAACATCAAGAAAAAAGGCTTCCTCCTCATAGCAAAGAAAAAACAGTGTAGCTTTTCCCATAAATTATTAAATAATTTAAAGTATTTTTCCTTGTGTAATCGGTAAAACATGAAAGAATTTTACACAAAAGAAACATTCGTGTTAATTCTTTATTAAGAGAAACAAAAACCTACGTACTACGTTACATTAGCTAATGTTCGATATTTGTTAATAACTTTATAATGCGAGTCAAGAGTTTTCACCGAGTGCTTTCCAGAGCCTAATTATTTCTTTGTTATTTATTCCTTTGCTAGAATATCGCTCATTATACGAAGAAATCAAAGTGCGCTCCATCAATGACCTTTGAAACACTCCACTATCTTAACTTGTYAAACTCTCATGTAGACAAAATGGCGTCTCATTAGAAAAAAGTGAGTTTGAAGACACGATGAAATATTGCTCAAGAAACTTCAATATTTGTTGAAACAGAAAATAAGTAATAAACAGCAATAAAGCAGCCAGCCAGTTTGTCGACAAGCTATTATAAATTGTCATAAATACTTATGGTAAAAATATAGAGTTTCTATCCGGGTATCACTGAGTGGCTTCGACCTAGTTCTGTGATGATACAGGAATCAAAAATATTGATTTATTCGAAAATAAATCGAGAATCAAAAAGCATTTGCCAATGCCTTCGAAACAATAGTTATCGGAAGTGAGTTTAATTTTGAATTACTGTGTTTTTGTAATGGGCAAATATCCATAACAATTGCTGCAAGGGACATAATTTCTTTMGTATAAAGTTCATTTGGGCGATGAGTTTKATGCTAAAATCCTCAGTCAGTTTTCTTATTTCGCTTTCATGTTTGCTTTGTCATATCGAGATTATTCGTTATGTTGTTGACTTTAGTAACTGATTCTAAGCTCTTCATCATTTTAAGACATGTCAGCAGTCTCGCATGATTTTTGATAGTTTAGACGGCTTTTAATACTCTCGCGGCATATTCCTCTGTAACAGAGAACGTTTACAATACTTGTATTTCTAACACAAAGTACGAGGAAAATCCCACTAACAAATAAACCATTATAAAGTTATTAGACAAGAATTTCGCATATTGTGTACAACTGTTTGTTTATATTAATTCTTACATGGAAAGTGGAAGTTTCAAAAAACTCATTGACATTTTTAATAATTTCAGTAGATTTATTCATTCCTTTTAGCTGCGAAGGTACACAAAAAATCCGTTTCTTTGCCTGACAAAGTAAGTCTAGCATATTGTATCTTAGTCAAACTGAAGACTGTCTATTTCTTTTTAAACGCCTACAGATGAAAATAAATAAATATACTGGGTCTACAGTAAATTACATMCACCTCAATTGAACCGAAAATTCTTTGTTTTGACTTAAAAAGAATAAAAGTCGATAAATATTTGATGAACAAATTCAATCGCCTTAATTTGATTTTTGCCCATMAGCTTGTAAACTACTGCACTGCACACTCTGCCAATACATCTGGCATTTTGAAGAAAATCCAGTCAGAATGTTTATRTGTGWGTGTATTTTCTTGTGGTCGTTAATCCATCTTGTTTTTTTGAGTGTTACAAAACGTTCAATAAACATGGCAAAGTTACAGTATGAAGTCACAAGTATCCATAACACTACAGTAATTGCCTTTAACGCGAGCATATATTGCAACAACACATATGTAGCTATTTCTCGGTTTATTTTTGAATAAAATATTCTAGTATTTGGCGCTTTTCAACAGAAATTTAAGCAACTATACTTCAATATTCGCGTGGGGTGTGCTAATGAAAATGTGAATTGTAATAAAACCCAATAAAATATTTACAAGTGCTTTTCGGGAAGGTTGCATTTGAAGTCAAACCCTGAACAACTTTCATAATTACACTCCAGGTTCTAAATATATCAAACTTCATTGAAACCAAATTTGATCCTTCAAGATTAAACCATGAATTAACTGATTAAAATAACGTTTTGGGTTTTGAATTATTGCGATGTTGGCCGTCCGTTCGGCATTTTTTCACTTGTTTGATATTGGTTTTTTTATTGATATCTTTACAGTACACCTACGTACCCTGGCTGAAAAGCCAACCTAGCAACGGTATATCAATATTTCAATAAGGCATTCTTACGTAAATAGTGCAGTCATTTCTTTAAGCAATTTGTAATAGAAAATAAACGAGATTGTACTGGCTACAATTCCAAGTTACAACCGTGAGAAAGGTGACACCTGGGAGAGATTTCTTGACATAATGACTGGCCCAAAATGAGCAAAGCAATTGGACGAACCGCGTTGATTACGTATATTAATTTGYGCTTTGCAGCCACTCACTGCACACTATACATTGAGGCTCTCTCCTCTTGAAATTCGCGCCTTATATAAGAAAGTGATCGTAAAGCTTCATTCACACTTGCCATCAGGAGAGATTGAACAATATGAACAAGCTGACAGTATTATTCCTTCTTGCCTCAGTCATCGCTCTAACATGTAAGCATTTCTCTTTCTTATTTTGCTATTTTTTTATTTCACTATAAATATATATTTTTTTGGAATAATGTGATAATTTTTTTTTTAATTTAGATCAGTTTTTGTTGGGTATATTTTTTGGGGAATTCCTATTCATGAAGGTTTAGTTTGTTTGACTGAATTAACGGGTGTACCGGAATTCCTTCCGCTGAACGACTAAAAATGTCTTTATCAAATTGATTTAATGAACAAAACACGACCGTAAGGTAAAAAAAAGTAATTCCTCCTTAAAAGCGAAGGTTTTCGCAACTAAGCCGAATGAATCGGAACAATTGATAATGCCCAAGGTTACCCGCGAAACATTAGCTTAGTGATTCAATATTGCTAAATCTATTRTATAAAGGCCAGCCTAAACTTTCTTTGCAACCTTTATAGATAAGCTTTAATCATAGTTTGAAATCAAACTTGCCGTAATACTCAATGTTGTACAATATAAAAAAGCTTGTTTTGAGTCGAGCACCTGCCATGGGACGCGCACGCGTTGGAATTTGTCCTGATTTCCCGCGCTTAGCTATAATAATCTGATTTTATACTTAGGAAGATTAAAAATATCTTTTTTTTATTTTTTATTTTTTCTTTCTCTCTCTCTCCATTATGCTAACTGCATCACTTTCCCTTTTTCTAGGGGCTTTACCCAAGGAGGAAAGACGTAAGTACTGAGATWATTTCTTGTGTCAGTTTGTCGACCATACGCCCTTTCCTACAGAAAGAAGCTAATAGCATGTTTCCTTGAAATTTCGATATATTTTCAATGGAAACGCTGAAATAAGTGTCTTTTTTCTTCAGCTCAAAACGTTCCCATCATACATATGACGCCTTGTAAATGAAAAGACAAATTTAATTTTCTATCTTCACCTTAAAGCAAACTGATAACCATCTTTTCATTCAACACATTCTTGTACATCAAACAATCAATGAATTTAATCTATAAAAAAGAAATTATTTTCAGATTTACTTATTGTTTTTTGCTGTTGYAGTTAAGATCTTAACTGCCTTCAAATAATTTATTTTTTTCCACAAGATATCAAAACAAATTAAAACCCAATTAAATGTAAAGGCAAACTTTTTTTAGATTGAATCGAAATATTTTTAAACGAACTTTATTGATGAACTGCAAAGAGTAGTAATGAAAACCGAACTTAATTCAGTCAGAATTTCGATGAAATTCTGAAAGAGGAATTYCCAGTAAAACTCATACAAATAAATCATCCAAATGATTTTTTGTCATAAACTGTCCAATGAAAAAAAATATTATGAAATTTAGCGGAGAGTTAAATCRCCCTTCTCGGATCGGAAGTCATCTTCTTAAGGTACTCCGCTTATTCAGCAAAACATCCGCTTTTGGTCCTTAAAAACCGGCAGGGAAACTAAAGTTAAAGTTTATTTAAGTTTATCCCCAAAGAGAGACACTGTTTTGAGGAAAATATACAAGATAAAAATCGCCAAACAAATGATAAAAGAAATCATGGAAAGTTTGATTTATTTTGGAAAGCGGGCTTGATTTTATCTCAAGAAATCCTAAATGAAATTTTTTGACAGTTTTGGCGTTAAATCTCATTACACATCTTATTTGATTTTCGGCTTTTTATGTATTTTCAATTAACGAAGAATAATATATAAAAACCAAGATACAACCGTTTGACAATTGAATGTTAGTTCGATTTGAAGTTAATATAATTCTTATCAGATTTGTTTATTTCTATTGTTGTTTTGCTGTGAAAGTTGTATCATGGACTCTAGTAAAACTAGCGCTAGCCAGAGCTCCTGAGATTAAAATTACAGCTTCAACAAGAACAATATCACGTCACTTTTCAGTTCTAAATTACATCCTGTTGTTCATTACCCCAAACTGAGACTGGAAATCATTTCTAAATTAGAAAATGGAAAATTCTCTACACGATACTACAGCACAACTGTCATTTCCAATTCTTTTTTCACCCTTTTTTAAGTTAACAAACATTTAATCTAGTATTAATTTTGTCAGCGTCAGTTCATTTTTCGATMACTAGTTTTTTTTATAATACATGTTATTAAAAATCGATTTGAAGTGAAAAACTCGGGAGTGCATTAGAAGTTGAGATTTTCCACTTACAAGTTTCTTTTSGCTTCACCTGTWAAGAGCAGTGGGCAAAGAAGTCAATCACTTATTGAGCGTTGAACATTTCTGCWTRAGAATAACTTATAACTTCGTTAGGGCCTGCATTACATGTGGAGGCGTGTGACATTTTTTCTCAAAGATGAAAGACACACCATCTGTCCTGAATGCTATTTCGCTAATGGTGGACAAAAAGCCTACAAAACCACATAAAAATAAAAAACATAGAAAAATGTGCGCTGCCAAGCGTTACAMATAAAGGSTACTATAGAATGTTACCGCGTCTATGTACAATATTCTAGCCGCCTCTGCATGTTCTGGGTTATGGCGTCTTCTCAGTTTAACCCACAAAGTCCGCGTATCCTTTCATTACTATGATACAAAACAAACGCMGGMGTTTTTKGGCTTCAGCATCAAGTTTCGGTTTATTCTGAAGCCGAAAGTAAGCCTTCATTTACATTTTTTCACTGTCTCAGTCAATAGTACTAAGACCATCGCAATTATTGTAAATACGTGTTGGAATTAGACCTTTTGCTAAAATCTGAAAAATCTAATTCCGTTGCATTAATGCGTGCATGGAGCTGTTTCTGCAAGATGGTCCATAAAGCACAATCGTCAGTCTCAGAGATATTCAGTTCTGATGACAATTGAAGGAAATAACTGTGACAGCATATATGTCGAAATTCGTTACGATTTTGTAATGATCAATAATTTCTATACGACCTACTCTGAGCTTTTCAACAACGGTGACATTTGAAGTCTTAGAACAAGAGGGCTCTCGCAGAGCAAGCGTCTTCTGTTAGAGAATTTTGAAGAGTCGTTTAGAAGCAGCTGACACAATGTTTGACAGTATTAATTTTCGTTCACTTTAATTTGGAACTTTTTTATTTGTGCTGTTTATGATCAGATCAAATAATCATAATGATAAATTCACAAAAATTGTATTTCTTCCAGGTTTTGTAACAAAAAAATTGTSAAAATAMTAAGAATAAACTGATAATGTTTRCTGATAAAAATGACGATGACAATCATTAGAATTTTTTCTTACTTCCATTTCCTCTGTCATTCCCAGCGTTTCTATCATACAGTTACTATAGTTGATATATCATTTTCAATTTTCATGCAAATTCTTTTATTTCTCTCCACGAGGTTTAGACGCTGTGCCAGTGTGCATTCTTTATAAAGCTTAAACATAAACAATATTTTACACTCCTTGAAGAGGAATTTTTTCTCAGATGAAATTATATATACACTATAGGGCGACATGCAGAAAGACGTCAATCCGGCAATTAATGATATCTTTCTGTTGAAGTTACCCACATATATTTTGAAAAACACTACCTTTGAATTAACTTTCCCMAAWAAAATATTCTCCCAACAAAGACRCAACTAATTAAGGAAGCCTTCTAGASCTCWAGTTTCTGCAAAACCTAGGATTAACTAATTTCGTCGATATAGTTCTTTAAGATTCTCAAGCTTCTATCAAGCCCTTAGGCATTTTATCTTAACCGATTGTTCGTCTGATAATTTCTTTCTAACGGTAAATTTTGGCGACATTTGTATTCGTAAATTGAAGAGCTTTTCAATCCTCATAACTCATAAGTACTGCTCAACCCCTTGACTGTATGAGCTTGTCAAAAGTGGAAAACTTAAATCTTTTTCCGGAATTACTTCCTAAGATCATCATGATGGAATATTCATCAAAGAAATTCATTACTGACTTGTAATCCGAAAATTCAACGGGAATAGTGCCTAAGCTGAACATTAATAATTGAATACCCTAAATACGAAGTTTTGAAAAAAAGGATCTTCTGTATTTATAATCAAGTTTAAAATCAGTTTGTTAAAAATCTAGAAGCGGTGATCATTATAGCATAGAGTAATTATCGTTTATTGTTTTTACACGGGTTGGTAATTGTTTAATTCGTTGTCGCTTCACGAAATCCAGAAATTWTTCYCATTCTGAGCGAAGCATGAAAAACTAACTGAACGGCTTACGTGGTTATTTCTCTCATGTCATCAAATATTTAACCCCTTTTTTCGCAGAATATGTATAGTATATGACCAAGTCACCTGTGAGAAGAAAATAGCTATAGCTGCCATGTTTAGAAAGATTAGTTTTTTCATTTTCAGCCAAAATGGCGGCGAAAACGCCCAGATAAACGGTTCAAGAAGCAGTATTCTGGTCAATTAATCAGTTGATCAACTCTGATTTTTCGATTCTTTTGTCATATTTAACACTAACGGAAGATGTCGACGATTTATTTACTAGACRACATATCAGTACTTATTGGTTAATTTGGTCGTGTGTAGTTTTYGGGTTAATTTTTATGTTTGTTTTGGCAGCTTCAAAGCGCAGACTACTAAGGATACTGCCCCATGAGGCAATGAAAATGAGTTAGTATTTTTGCTTGGCGTTTTTTTTTTGCATGATATTTTAGGCAAATAAAATCTCTTACAGCACATATGTAGAATATTTTGAGATTGGTTTGTAGTAACGATTTTTTAGSTTGATAAYAACTGCAATTGTCGGATTGTCGCGCACTTCAAATTCATGTCAAGAACCAATGATTAGCGTTTCCTTCCCCCTAAAAAAAGGCAGTTTAGCAAAAATAATGTATGCATGTTCATTTATTTCAAGTACGTCACCATTCCCCAGATGAAGCAAAAATTATTTTTCACAATGCACTCAAATTCTGTATATCTTTCATGTAAGTTTTTAAAAACCTTTTCTTTGTCTGTGCAGAAAAACGCTCTCATGAGTGCTCACCTTCAGCCATCGCTGCCCTAAAACACTATGGACTTGAYGCTCGCTTGTGCGGAAAATCAAAGAGAGGTTAGTGACAAGAAGTCTTTAATTAATGGCGTTTATTGCACTAAAAGTATAACCGGAGGGCGTTGTGTCCCAGACCGAGAGGAAATTATATAGCGCTAAATCTCAAACATATTTCGAACGTTCTGAATACATGCATACAAATAAATATTTTAATATTAATTTTTTTTTCCAGTGGAAGCTGACTTTTCACGCCTTCTTCAACGAAGAGGTTGGTATACTAATTGCGCATCCCAAGAAATTACTCTCATATTTCGCTAGAATTGTCATTCCTTTATTCTACGATTCTGCTTAAATTAGGGAGGGAGTAGCATAGGATAAACTTTTTGCCTTCTTTTCATTCAAAACAGAACCTTGTCTTATCAGCTAACATGTCCTGACTAAGAATCTTTTATCAATTAATAATACTTTGATTGCATTTGATTTGCAGAATTAGAATACGCAATCTCTAAAGAACGATACGGTACGTYTCCGTTTCATTACTTTATATCTCTCCATAGAAAAACAATCTCTTCATCTCGACCTTTGCAGCCGTTAACCATTTTTTTGTCGCCGCGCAAACAACTAGGTGCGAGAAATAGAACGCGACTGGAAGCGGATGTGAGAAAGACTTTGATACATTTGAAACATGACAAAGAGGTTCAAATATCGTCTATATATATCTAAATATCTAATGTATATGTATTTTATTTGCAGACCAGCGAAGAGGATTCAACGCATGCTGYAGTCCTGATTGTGATTGGCTGCTAGACTACTTGGAGATCGACTCCACAGTCGTGAAATGCGTTGATAAAAAATAAAATCCAAAGCCGAGAAATTTCTAAAGTCACACCATCACGTTGATTACAAAAACTAAAAGATAAACACATAGGACCTCTGTAAGAATTAGCTACCACACTGTACACTCCATAGTATACCGCTGGCCAAACACGGGATCTGTCACCAACGCGCATGTCCAAAAGTTCACGAAAATATAATACTGATAATTTGTAGTTGGAATTTTTAGTCATGCGCAATGTAATATGTGAATAAAATAAAGTGAAATGTATGTAGTCTTTGGAAGAATTACTTATATCAACATTTACACATCATCATCAATGTTATTTTTCTATAAAGGCGGGGAATAAAACCAAATACATACAGTCAATTCAAGAATTCTGGCCGCTAAATTCTATAAATATATCCATGTAAAGGGAAGTTGATCTTCAAATTTAAAACTTTAATCTTTCATAAACCTACAGATTATGCTTGAATGAACTTTAAATGAACATAATTTCACAGTCATAGGGTCTTAGGATGATTTGCTACCTGTTTTAGGGAAAATCACATTATAATATGCTGCACCCGCGATATAGTGATGTCAGCGGTCAAATTTTTTACAAATGACTGTATACGAAGAAGTAAACCATAGTTAAATGAACCCAGACAGCAAAGTCTCAGTGCCCAGACTTATACACTGTACCAACAATAAGCCCGCCATCTTGAAGTGCATTGTTAACAGTATCATTGCCAAGCTATGTGACGGTCCAGGGAGCTGTAAACGACGAAACAMAAGGGAACTTTATAGAGTTTAGTACGAATACGAATTTTAAAAAATGTCATTCAGTGAGCTGTTGGTACATAAAATGTATGCTTTGACCCTTGGACATCCCATAATKTATCCAAAATTCAAGATGGCTGTCGTATTAATGTTTATTCGGTGATGAGGCAGACAAAGAAGCATTACTTTATCATTGAATGTTTTTTACCTACGCCGATTCCTTGCTTACACATTTTTCAGCTGAAGAAAAGGAATAACCAGTTTGCAAAAAACACCCTCGTAGCAAGGACATTGCCTAAAACGCCGAGACATTATCACTTTTTTATCTTATATGATAATAGATGATAAATATACTACACGATAAGGATAATATAATTTTCTATTCATAAAAGTTGGTGAGGACTAAATAACTAGTAGAATATCGCATTTTTGCTGAGTGCGTGTGACAGCTTGAGTCAAACAATTGGCTTGCTTTAAGTTACTAACTAACTATGGTTGTCTGTATTTGCACCTTTTTGGCTACTTATATGGTGTATTCGCAACATATCGCTCTTATTAAACTTTCTCCAAAAACAGTTTTGTCGTTTGTCCGCAATTTTGTCCGYAATTCGTTTTTGCCTGTTGCTTGCAGTTTCAACGAATCTTAGCACCCTTTATCGTAGACCCTCCTTTTTCCTAATCTATCAAAATCAATAACAAAAAAGCGTTTAATCAGTAGATTTACTTAATACCAATAGAACAGTGCATAGGATTACACGTAACTAATGATTGATGATAAAGCTCAGTAATTTTCCAACTCTATATTTCCTTTAAATTAACGTTTTTATTTTCACAATAGCACCACGTGTAGATAAATCTTCATCTGTACCTATTTCTTTTATGTGCAAGTAGATTTGCACTGCTCAATGGTTTCGAACCTGTTTGCATTTCCTCCGCATCCTCCGTAAATGAATTTTTTGCAAGTAGACAACTCCATGTCATAATAGAACTTTGGAAAATACCCCATGCAAGGACCTGCATCGTTTTTGTACGTACAGGGTCCAGGTAACCCGACGCAATTTCCTATTAAGAAATAAATATAGATAGCATCAAATGCATGATATATGGGTCATATTCACGTACGTGATATATATTGCAAAAAAACTGGTTGTCGGATAAAATGGCGAATGTCAAATGTCGAAAGGCGATTGCACGACCGAAAGTAGCCATGGGTTTTGCTAATTAAATGGAAATAACAACTGATTTAYAGTGTAAGATAGTCTGTGTAAAATAAATAGCTCCGTTTAGCCATTTCTATGCAAGGTAAAAACAGGGTAACCATAGTCCCTTTCGGTCGTGCAATCTCCCTTTTCCCCGACAACGTTTATTGAAATAGGTGTACATTACAGGACTTCTGCACATATGAAATGAGATTGAAACAATTCTCAATGAGTTCAAGTTGTATATATATTCAAGTAGATTTCCAAGGCAACAAACCCTACAAAACTCTGTAAAGCATGCGTTTTGCATTTTGTATATATTTCTAAAAACCTRAACAACAGCGTGRCATGCAATTAACAGAAATRTATCGAAACTKCCAACAGTAAYTTCTGAAAWTTCCCTTCAAAATCATCTAAGGATGTTTGTTGGCATTTCTGAACATGGACTTCAGTGGTTTGGTGGTGATATTTCTAGCTATTCAATCTATTCTATTGTACAATTGTAGCTATTCGACGCAGCTGTATACATTTGAATTTAAATTTTTTCCCGTTCTGGTTGGTACTAAGACACGTAATGATAGTTGTTCTCTTCGTGGAATAGAATTTTAAAATTTGATCAAATTTCAGTGGAAAACGTTGACGAATTAGCTGAATTGTATATCAACATCTACAAATATCATCCCTCAGACCATAATCAGCATCTTTATACACTTATAGAATATTGTTTTTATATATCATTTTAAATAACATCYCTGATCATATTAAGTATCTTTATACTTTATAGAATACTGTTTTATATAATATCATTTTAAATATCATCCCTAATCATATTCAGCATCTTTATACACTTTCTAAAATATTGTTTTTTATTTTTATAAGCTGGAAACTTACTAAAGATGTTCAAAAATACAAGAAAAGCGAAAACTCCTTGGATTGCGTACATCTTCAATGAATCCTTTGTCTTTGCACTGTAAAAGAGAAGCTTATGAATCAGAGCGTTTGCTTCAGGTTATTAAATGTGTTTATAATATATGTGGGATTGTTACTTACCCGTAAACTCTAAACTTGTAAATTCATGTCTGATGCCACGGGCAATCAAATGCATAAATCAGTATTAATATCTCATCATCTGAACCAGATCAGAGTAAACAAACTGAAATATTGGTTGGCACAGCTGACAAAGGTGGATTTTCTCAATGGCGCGGCTTTGATATTTTTCGATTTGCTTCCCCTAATATTATTATCATAACTGATTTTGTATTATTATATATGGTATTAATTATCTAAAATATGATGGGTCAGCAGGCTGCATATAATTTTCACAATSAATCCTCAACCTAAAACTTAACATCGAAGTAATGTTTAAAGTCCGACAATGAGGACTGGACCGAGGTTTCAAGTCCGCGCAATTAAACTGGAACTAATAGTAAGGACTTGTAATTGGCAGACAATAATCTCGATGCAATYTGTAGGTTGCRCCCGCAGTGCATTCGCTGCAGATATGCACTTGACATGACTTATTTTGGTAGAACCTTTATTTAAAATGCAAACATTCTGTAATAAAACAATTATTAAACTCAGTTTTTGTGATATCCAWGAATCAATRTCTCGYAGCAAATCAGTTTTGTCATGACCTTCAGCCTTACGTCCACTTCCCTTGATCTTGATTATTTCGGATATCGCAAAAACCTCATCCAATAATTATTTATAACTGGAAATGTGATTAGGATCATGAAAGCTTACAAGGATTACGCAGGGGAGTACAAACATGAAGAGGATGGTTAGTCACTCCCCGCCTACCTCTTTGACAAAATATTTAGATCTCTAGATCTCTAGATCTCTAGTTGAAATGAAACTAAAAAGGATATACCATTTCAGACTTACAATTCTTGGGAGTCSTTCCCATACCCCTTTGATTTCATTGATGGGATGCAAAGGACTCTTGATTCAATATTAGATTCATTATTAGATTCATTCATAAGATTCACTCATTTTCCACCATAGGGAAAAGGCGTAAACTAAAGGTGTAAACTAATGTTATAAACTAGCAGCTATGATATCCTGTATGAACAAGAAGAACTACATCCCAAACCGAGGTTTCAAACATCAGTTTTCCAGTTTTCTAGGGTTCTTAGATCAGAGAATTAGCTATTTGACATCACTCTGATATTCTAAACTCCGCACTGGAATGGCAAGTGGTTTTATATTCTTAGATCCATACCCCTTTGATTTCATTGATGGGATGCAAAGGACTCTTGATTCAATATTAGATTCATTATTAGATTCATTCATAAGATTCACTCATTTTCCACCATAGGAAAAAGGCGTAAACTACTAATGTTATAAACTAGCAGCTATGATATCCTGTATGAACAAGAAGAACTACATCCCAAACCGAGATTTCAAACATTGAATTCATTTAACCTGTGAAACAATATGRCTATTTTTAGTGYGATAGTCAAAATAAACACAAACAAAACAATCTATGCAATTAGAGGGTTCTTAGATCAGAGAATTAGCTWTTTGACATCACTCTGATATTCTAAACTCCGCACTGGAATGGCAAGTGGTTTTATATTCTTAGATGACGTAAATTAAAGCACAAAAATAGATTTTTGTCATTACAAAGAACAATTGAAGACTATTGCATACTTTTGTTCGTCAAAACATCGTGTGGTGCTATTATCCCACGCTAAAAATAACTAAAACTTATGAAAATTCTGAACATCAATTAATATCATGTCATTGTTTTCGGTTGTATGCTATAGCACCACTGGACTATTAGAATGAAGGCGTAAAGCCGTGTAACAAATTTCATTTGAACATGTAATAAAAATGACTATCTAGTTAGTATTTGTTGAAAAAGAAAAAAGAAAACAATACATTCCGCTTCTAGKCAACTATTAGTCTCACTAATTTTTCAGGGTCAGACGAAAACTACGACTCTTATTAGAGTGTGATAGTCAGATCATGCAATTAAAGTGAAGTAATGCCTAATGCTTTATGTAATCGACCTATTCTCCCCAAAACTCGTTATCTCATTGTCATGATGTTAAATTCCTTGGGGAAATTATGGTAAAACGCGATCATGTATACACTAGGCCTTAGGTGTATTAGTGTAATATCTATTTCATGTTTTTTTCTTTTTTTTTTGACTTTTTTAAAAGCTTTACCATACTAGAATATATTTCACGGGCTTTTAGTGATTTTGCCCGAATGTGAAAAAACAATCAAGGCCTATTTCATGCGGTTTATTTCACAATGTATTTCTCTGAATCATCCATTTACATTTGTGCGATTTTTGCAGCGCGATTGATGCGCCGATCGCCTGAGGAACATTGAAGTTTATCTGCAAATTTCTCGGCGATTTTCGATTGCCGCAACAATTGCAGTGCGATTTGAGTTGCGCGATAGCAAAGAATCATAAGTATAAACGGTCCTTTGAGCATGATTTCTATTTACTATATCCACATTTTTTGATATTTTTGTTCCATATTGGTGGACATTGTCACTTATAAACTATCATCAGTCATAGCCAGGTTTATTTCATAGTTCGATGAAAGCTGCTCGACTATTTTTCTGTGGCACTGGAAGTGAGGTTTTTCTTGATTGACTAGATTTAAATCGCTGCATTCAATTGCTGAACTGAAGCATAAAATTCAAAGTATTGTTTGGAAAGAACAAGAAATTAATCCTGGTAATATAAAAAGATTACATCATTGCTATTGTCCGCTAAGGTCATCACGTAAAACTATTGTTCCACGCTCAATAGAAAAAGTATGGTCGAACAAGAACTCTAAAATACAAAGCATAAATAGACTGAATGCTGGAGCTGAGTGCACTTTACGGCGACGCCTTTCGTTCGACAAGATGAAGATAGTGGTTGTAGTATTGCTTGGTGGATTCCTCCTTGTAGGATCCAGTCCCGTCCATCGTAATGCAGGTCAGTGATTAAAGTTTATATTTACGAATGGTTGATTATAGTTTTCGCGAAACGGACATAGTTTTAAGATTCATTTAAGTCACTTAGCTACTGACTATAAGTGAATCGATATCTCTGTGGACCGCCGAGTTTGAATCAAGTAACAATTAGTCGTTTGAGTKTCCTGCCAAGAGCTCAGYACCAATACTACAAATACCCTTATATTCTTTKAAACCCTAATTTTGGCCAATGTTCTGGTGAACATATATATCTCGAACTACATACGTATCTAGCTAAAACGGATACCTTGAACTATWGAATGAAGCAAAACACTTGTCGAAAGTAACTTGATACTTCGGCATAGATTTTTGACACAGCGAAAGTTACAAAGTTTTGAGTACATCCTAACCAGTCCAGGAAGAGCAGGTAAAAATAGGCTCTACTTGTAACGAGAGCGGCTCAATACTTCTATCAAATCCATCCGCTAGATTTCTACATTAAAATGAAAAACTCAGCTTAGATAATTTAGCCGTTTCACCGTTTTGTCGTCTACTGAAATATTCGATTTTTTTAATGTAGTATCTGTGTGCCACAAAAATTTCAATTCTCGCTACGCCCTTGCTACACCAAGAACACTTTTGGAACTTTTGCCGGAATTTTTACTGTTATAAGAGTTTTTTGTTTCTTGTTATAGGAATGCTTAATAAAAAATTCTTTCATTTATCTRATTATTCCTGCAGATGACCGGCGACAGAAAAGAGGACAGGATAAAGACATACTAGGAAAAATCATTGATGTCAATCAAAGTAAGAAAACGTACATGAACAAATAACAGACTAACGATAATATTATACTTTCTTTTAACGGTGATATGATAGTCCTTTCGTATTTTCTTTGTTATTCTKATTTTTATTCACTTTGGAGATAAGTAAAACAATTAATTGGGACTAATCACATTACAAAAGAAAGTGAGCATAGCATTCTGGTAGTTGTAGTCTAGTTAAGTGAATCAGTATTCATTTTATGGCTATAGCGTAGGCAGGGTGGAATGCTCCTCCCGCGTGCGCCCCTCCCAAAAGGTATTTCTTTGTCTCTGAATGACTGGCAGCTACCACTTAAAGCATTCCAACGGATTTATTTTAACTACTTTCGCCATAGAAATTATTGATCAAGTGTTTGAAGGAGACATTGTTTTGACGTCAAATGACAAAGGACGAGTGGATCAGAGCACAACTGGGGATGTAGACGGACCGCTCTCAGATTCTCCTTACAAACGAAACGCTCGACGCTCAAGGCTTTCACTTTGGAAATCTAAAACAGTTCCATTCGAGATCGATTCTGCTATGCGTGAGTATTCACCGTCATTAGGTTTGCATAAATAGTAACTAGAGTAAAAATTATTCATCTCGCGAAATTCGTCGAAATTTTTCTATTTCAAAGCAATAACACTTTTCTTGTTTCACAGCCAGCGAATATACGACGGTCATAACTGCTGCCATGTCTGAAATGGAAAAACTGACTTGCTTACAATTTATACCCGTCTCTAATGAAAGAAACTGGATCAAGTTCGTCCATAAAACTGGGTAAATTACCATATAATTATGGGATTGTGAATTGTGTGATTTTGAATTCGCGAGTTCGATATCTTCTCATTACATCACAATGTCTAAATATTCTACATTTAGATAACCAATCACAACTCGCGCCCATATAAAACGGCATCTGATTTYTTGTCTCTGGAAGGATCAAAAAGGATTTTTAACAAATCAGGTGCCAAGTTATATGTGTACATGTTATGATTCTATTGGTTGTCTGGAAATAGGTTATCAACAGATCTCATATTGAGTGCAATAGATATGAATGCAATAAGACAAAGAACTTATATTATTAAACGGTTATTGTGGAAAAATAACAGATTAAAATTCGCAAAGTCGAGAAATCATTCCCATCGTGCTTTGTTCCTAAAAGATGGCGCGCTGCATAATTTCCAATAAACACTTTTAATAAAGATTTGTTTGTTTTTTAGATGCTGGTCGTTTGTAGGGATGTTATATTACAGAAGTGGAAGTCAAGAAGTCTCAATTGGTCCAAGATGCAACCGTAAAGGTGTGATCTTGCACGAGTTGCTCCATGCTTTAGGATTTTGGCACGAGCAATCCAGACCTGACCGAAACCAATACGTTGAAGTGTTTTGGGAAAATATCGAGGAAGGTGAGAGAAAATAAGATAATAAAGAAAATTAGAGCATCGATTGATTTTAATGATACCTATTCATGATAACAGGCCCGTATGCCAGTGGGTTAAAAAAAAGAGTTGAGAATTATTTTAATGTTGCTAAAAATAGACTGCACCTACCATGTTCTTGCCTCCCTCTCCCTCCCCCTCTGGTCAAAGATGTAATCTGTAGACGGGACGTACATTGTTATTCGCGTCGGTGGAAAGGGGTAGAACGACCAACATTGATTCAAAACATTGATTCGAACATTGATTTGCATCGAGTTTTTGAGAAGGATATGTTTGTACTGCGGATCTTTTTAGACTAACAATGCTAAAAGGGTGTTCAGCAACCAACATGATTTTAGTTAATTGTTTCTTTGTTGACAGTATAGTTGATTTGAATACGTCTTCAGAGAGGGCATTGGTGGTGTCGAGTACCTGTCGTATCCCCCAACAATAACAACAAATTTTCATTTTGAACCCACRCAGGAAAGGAAAACAACTTCAACAAATACAAACACGGAGAAATTGATTCATTGAAGCAAACCTACGATTTAAAAAGTATCATGCACTATGGTAAATACTACTTCAGTAAGAATGGTAAACCAACAATACAAGGAATTGGTCCAAACAAAGATGCAACTCTTGGTCAAAGGGATGGATTTACCAAAACTGACATCTTTGAGATCAACGCTTTGTACGACTGTTCAGGTATGAACTTATAATTACAGTTACCTGTCAAAAAATCCTGTAAAGATCTAAACGTCTGTTATTAAAAAAAAGAGCTAGAGACAACTGGATATTTATATTCACACACACACATTAACAACAACAACAACAGCAACAACAATAAACAAACTGAGAAGAAATGTATGCTATGATATGTCATTTTTGTTTCTTTTTAGGGCCAAATGGTGGTTGGAGTTCATGGAGTGATTTTGGGCCTTGTGATTCTAAATGCGAGAAAGTACGAGAGAGATTCTGTGCTTCATCTGACAGGTCTGCTTGCTCTGGAGCTGATGACTATGGAATAGGAAGAGACAAAATCAAGTGTTCTGACGCAGAGTGCTATGGTACGTTCTAAGTCATCATAATGAATGGATGCATTGATTGATTGATTGCCTGCTTGCTTGCTTGCTTGTTTGCTTGTTTAATTTATTGCTTAATTTATTTCGCTTAATTGAATGATTTCAGCTCCAGTAGATGGTCACTGGGGGCGATGGTCATCATGGGGTCAGTGTGACGTGAATTGTGGATTTGGAAACCAAACAAGAACACGCGTTTGTGATGATCCTTCACCCAAAAATRGCGGCAAAGATTGTGTTGGAGAKGRSAAGCAARCAAAKACATGTTTCACAAAGACATGTGGACTAGGTATCTTTAAAATTATAACTGATAATTACTTTTCATATTTTGCTACCTTTGGTCTAGTTTGAAAGAGGCATGGGAATAATAGCTAATTGAGATAATATTTATTATACCTCATTGGTCGTCTTAATTTTCACGACAAGGTTTCAAACATCAGTTTTCCAGTTTTCTTTACTTTAGTATGTTACGTCTGATATGCATGATAATGTTAAACGAGGAAACTAACTTTTTGTGTAAAGCTTGCTCTATTCATCAAATTCACGTATTTACAAACCTCGACAATTGTTCAACACGGCTAGGAACAGTTCACGTGGCAATCTGGTTTCTTTTCTTTTAATAAGGTGCAAACGACTGTGAGTTCGAGGAAGATATGTGCTTTTGGAGTCAGAAAAATCAGAAAAACTCCTACAAATGGGATAGAATTGCAGGATCGACAGCAAGCCCAARCACTGGACCGACTGGAGATGCAACGCCCATCCTCGGTGGCAAAGGTAAATTTTCTAGAAAATAATACTTTCTCCAATCTTTTATAAAAAAGACCCCTTCAGCCAAGAGAAGGACGTCATCTACATGACTAACATGTTGCAGTTGATGTTGGTGATGTAGTTTCTATTTTTTCCAGCTGCCCAGTGACGGAAGTACGCTGAATTATTCCTGTTGATGCATTAAAACTGCATCCCTTCTTRTCGTCACTGTCTATTGAACTTAAAAAAGTGTTTATTTTTAGGTCATTACGTTTATGCCGAGGCTTCTGATCCAGTAAAACCAGGTCAAGTAGCCAAACTTCAAAGTAAGGAGTTTGCTCCTTCTCCAGATAAGCGATGTCTTCAGTTTTCATACAATATGTACGGAGGGAATGTTAATGCTCTTAACGTGTACATCATTGACACAAAAACTGGAAATCAGACAAAGATATTTTCAAAGTATGGTAACCAAGGGCAAGGATGGCATAGAACTAAGGCAACGTTTACAAGTAACGATCCATATAAGGTATGCGCATAGGCAAATCCTTACTTCTACTTCATGATCAATATCTGAATTGTATTTTGGTCTTAGATTTCATTTGA